GTAGGAAAGCAAGAAAGCTCAAACAATTGGAGAGCAGGGTATATGTAAATGTCCCCACTCACCAGAAATCAAGACTGGTTTCCCAGAGTCCTATTCCTTTTGGCTTGGCCTTATTTCTAGGAGGCTCCGGGTTGTAGGTCTTCTTGGTGATAGTGTTGACCAACCAACCAGAGGTTGAGCAGAGTAGGTAGGCGGAGCTTGAGGGGTGGAGCCAAGGCCAAGGGCCTCTAACTTAGGAGCTTCTCCATTCTGTCAGCTCTCCCGGAGAACATCCAAAGCAAGACTGACATTCAGCAAAGGCAGGTGAGGGACTGGCAACAATAGAAGGGTAAGCTTTAAGGGTGGTGGTTACAGGAGAGTCCCAAGCTCTATTAGCTTTAGTTTTCCATATTGTGAGGCTCTCACTTGATGGAGAGGATTCTTGGGTCTCAAGTAGAGATGTCCAGCTCAGTTTCTTCTGGGACAAGGCAGCCTCAGAAAGAAAGACATGGTTTGGGATGGGATGAAGATAGCAAAGGCTGAGGGATAGGAGTGGATATGGTTGTGTGACAAAGTACTGAGGGTTGCAAGGAAATCTCAGAAGACATGGAGGTAGATGGGCAAGGGCCAGAGGGACAGCATAGCCAGATGACCACAGGGCAGGACCCAGTCAAGATAAAAAAGGGAGCTGAAACAGGGATAGAGTGAGAAAGCAGCTGACTGAGTGTGAGATGGCAACAGAGGGGCAAGAGAGAGCTGGGTAACAGGAAGGACAAGGAGGAAGGAAGGCTCACATGGAGCAACCTTCTCTTCCGGCTGTGGAACATGGCCCACAAGCCCCAGGCCAAGCCGGAGCAAAGCTTCCAGGTTCCCACTGTACTGATTCAGTTAGGGAAGAAACCTCCAGTTAGTTACCCATCTCCTTTATCTCTTCAGACTCCCATGTTGGTTTGGGGGAGAGGGCGAGGCTGCGCCTCACTGCGGTCATAGCCACATCCTGCAGAGGCAGGGGAGGGGGAAGTAAAGAGCAAAACAACCAGAAGAACCACAGGTGAAGACCATGAGGAGAAAACCCTGGACACATGTAGCCAATGTGCCACCAGGAGGGTCCTAAGTTCAACCCCAACAGACCTTAGACCTCTGGCACTGCCTGTCTTCCCTGCCACCCACACCCCCTCCTCCAGGTGCTTGTTTCTCAGGTCTCCTCAATGTGTGTCAACTTAGCTGAGAGGGTTCCAAGGAAGGAGGTGTTTTTGTATTAGGTTGGAAGCTCATTTTCGTCATTATCTAGTGATTTCAGCCAAGTTGCTTAATTTCTTGCAGCTTCAGTTTTCTCAATGCAAATGGAGATAACTACCTTACAGATAGTTGGGAAGACTGAGATAATTCATAAAGCACTTGGCACAAAGCAAAACCAAAGAAACCCATTGCCAGAGTCAATTTTGAGTCATAGCAACCTCAGGCGTTAAGAGAATAGAACCGTTCCATAGGGTTTTCAGGAGTCCTGGTGTGGTGCTGTAGGATAAGCACACGATTGCTAACTACAAGGTCTGTGGTTCCAACCCAGCAGTCAGTTCTTGAAACCAACTCAATGGCACTTAACAACATAGGGTTTTCTTGGCTGTAGCTTTATAGCTTTATGGAAGCATATCACCAGGCCTTTCTTCTGTAGCGACACTGGGCAAGTTTGAACTGCCAATCTTTTGGTTAATAGCCTAATGTAAAGTACTTGTGCCCCCGAGGGACCTAATGTTGTTAAGTGCTGTGGAGTCAGTTCTGACTCATAGTGACCCTGTATAGGGTTTTCAAGGCTTTAAATCTTTGCGGGAGCAGAAAGTCTTGTCTTTCTCCAACAGAAAGGCTGGTGAGCTTGAACTTCAGATCTTGTGGTTTGCAGTCCAGTGCTTATCCTAAATGCTCTCAGTAAACATTAGTTATTGTGAAGATTAATTCGGGACACATGTAGCTAATATGAATTAAAATTCTAATTCCTGGGACCACCTAGACTTTTTACTTCTTGAAAAGCAGTACAGAGCACTAGGTGACACTTGGAGTCAGAAAAGCAGTTACGTTATTTAACATAAGCCTCAGTCTGTTGCGCTGTTAAACAAGGATAGTAATGTCTACACTTCATAGATGTGTGATACAGAGTCACTGTTCAAAAGGGTAGCCATGAGAATTATCTGCCAGATAATCCCGATCTTCTCCAGTGTAGTAGCCAACAGCCTACTTCCCCTTAAGACTTTGCTCATGTTGGGTTGGCCACACTCCTTCAGTCAAAGCACCACTCCTGCTGTTTTGGAGATGGAGGTTTCCTACAGCCTTCAAAGAGAAAAAAGCGAGTCATAGAGAAAATGAGGAGGTTCAGGGGAATGAAGATGACAGAGATGAGGATGAGAAAGAAACTGTAAAGAGATAGGTAGGGGAAAACCCATTTCTCTCTAAGGAAGCCTGTGGCCTTTCTTCTAGTGACTGACCACATATCCCACTCCCTAGGAACCATGGAGACCTTCAGCTCAAAGAGTCTGGCCCTGCAAGCAGAGAAGAAGCTATTAAGTAAGATGGCAGGTCGGTCTGTGGCTCATCTCTTCATTGATGAGACAAGCAGTGAGGTACTGGATGAGCTCTACCGTGTATCCAAGGAGTACACGCAAAGCCGGCCTCAGGCCCAACGGGTCATCAAGGACCTGATCAAGGTGGCTGTTAAGGTAGCTGTGCTGCATCGCAGTGGCTGTTTCAGTCCCAATGAGCTGGCCCTAGCTGCCCGCTTTCGCCAGAAGCTGCGGCAGGGCGCCATGACAGCACTTAGCTTTGGCGAGGTGGACTTCACCTTTGAGGCTGCTGTGCTGACCAGCCTGCTGACCGAGTGCCGAGATATGCTGCTGGAGCTGGTGGAGCACCACCTCACCCCCAAGTCACACGGCCGCATTCGCCATGTGTTTGATCACTTCTCTGACCCAAGTCTGCTCACGGCCCTCTATGGACCTGACTTCACTCAGCACCTTGGCAAGATATGTGATGGGCTCAGGAAGCTGCTGGATGAGGGAAAGCTCTGAGGGTCCTGAGCCCAGCATACGACACACTGGGAGAATGGCTGACTAGGAAAACCACAAATAATGGGCCTTCTAACCCCGCTCATCTGCCACGAATACTTTTCACATCTCAGGCTTCAGTCCTTCCCTAGAGTGCTTTTGGCTCTGAGACCACCCCATACCCAAACCGTTGATGGAGAAGGAGCAATGCTGAGGGCTGAGGCCTCTCTCCCATTTCAGCCCCAGGACAGGAAACAAAGCTGCATGAAAAAGATGAAGTGAAACTTGGATTTCTAATTTCTCCACAAGGGACATTTGAAACAGGAAATCCCCCTCCTCTATGAACTAAGGGAAGGGGGCACAGTTCATCCCTTTGGGGACACTACAGACAGAAGAGGGTAAGGGAATCCTTAGAGATATCCTAGAACCTCCAGCTGTAGGCAGAGACTGGCCAGATACTGGAGGTTCTATTCCAGATTGCAGGAAGAAGGGGCTAGGGCAGGGGAGAGTCTCAGAGAGGAAATAAAAGTTCTAGAACATGCAGAGGGCTCAATGTTTAATCTCTCCAGCTTCTCACACATTATGATCATTACAGGAAAAAGGCGGTAAATAAATACTGCTTATCTTACTATTCCCATGCAGGAGACTGAGACTTATTTCTAGTATCAGTGAGGTTGTCTTATCTACGTCTTCTGTTTAAGGAACTTAAAAATAAAAAATAAAAAAAAAACTGTACTGCAGGTCAGTGCTACAAATTGCAAATAAATATGCAATGAGAATCAAGGCAAAGATAGGCTCTAATGGGACTAGAGTATAACAAAGAAACCCCAGAATGCAGAGGTTTATCTTGGTCTTCAAACCCCAACATAATCTTTCTTCCATCCTTGTAGCCCCACTACAGGCTGAGCAGAGAAGCAAGTCAGGGGGGTGAACTGGAGACACAGAGAGTTCAGGACCCTATATTTAAAAAAAAAACAAACCCCACTGCCATTGAGTCAATTTTCCCACTCACAGTGACCCTATAGAACAAAGTAGAACTAATCCACAGGGTTTCCAAGTCTGTAAATCTTTACTGGGGTACTGGGGCTGACAACCTCATTTTTCTTTCACAGAGCGGCTGGTGGGCTTGAATACCTAACCTTGCAGTTAGCAGCCCAATGCTTAACCTACTGCACTACCAGGGCTCCTTTAGGACTCTATAGCACTCAGAGCAGGGGTTGGGAAGTTATTGAGGACTAGTTATTCAAGGCTGAGTCTAAATCCTTAACTGTCAGTCAGGAGGAAACGCCCAGCACAATCCCTCATTCTTTGCAGTGGGAACATGCTTGGCTAAAGGAGGCTGGGAACAAGCAGTCACTCGCTCCCGATTCCTGGGTTCCCCTTTGCCAGGGACTATTGTTGTTATGACTCATAGCGACCCTGTACAGGGTTTCCGAGGCTGTAAATCTTCACGGGAGCAGAAAGCCTTGTCTTTCTCCCACAAAGCAGCTGGTAGTTTCGAACTACTGACCTTGAGGTTACCAGCCTGATTCGTAACCACTACGCTACCAGAGCTCCTTTTGCCAGAGACTATAGATACCTTATTTTTCAGCTAAAAGTAGGAAGGGATACAGCAAATAAATATTACTTCATTATAGCACCAAATAAATACATAGTTGGGGACAGGAAGAAATTGGAGGGTTGGGGATTCCCTGCTCTAAGGCCAAGGAATGGTAGAGGGCTGGAAATGGCATCAGGCATGAAAAACAGCCTTTTGAATCTAAAGGACAATTGTAGATTCAGTCCAAAAACTGAGGTCTACTATTCATCGCCTACTCTTGCAATAAAACTTTCCTAGGCCGAGAGACCCCTGGTGGACAACACAGGGGAAGATAGCAGGAGTGGAGGCAGGTAGGCTGGGAAGCCATGTTCTGGAGCCTCACCTCAGGCTCCTCTCCCCCTCAAGTTGTTCCTTCAACATCTTGCTTCTCTCAATCAGTTCTGGGAACATCAGAGTTTGAAGATTTCATCCTCTTGGTCCCGTAGCGTCTGGGTCCGTGAGGTCCGGGTCAACGGCACAGGACCTAGGACTGCTCGTTGCTGCATCCGAGGGGAGCTCAGGTGAGGACCTGCATCCTCCCCAGGCACCCTGTAGGTGAGGAGAAGGGGAAAGAGTGACAGATCAAGAGAAGAACCTGAGGATAAATCAAATGGAGAGGTACACTGCAAGTTAACCATCTCCCTGACACATGTGCTGGCTATTCTAAGATGGCATCACAATACCCTCTGGATAAATCCTAATCCTAATGCTACGGCATGGATCATCAGAGCAGTTCGGTTTTGTTCCAATGGGAATACAGAACACAGTTTCCCACTGCTTCTATCTATTCAAGCAGCCATTGGCTCTGCTCATTGTCTTGGGGTCACCTGAGGAAAAGGTGTTACTTTGCTTCTTGTGTGTGTGGTTTAGGTCTGTCTGGAAGAATGAATTCATAAAGGGGTTCATATGGAACCATTCAAGACTTACTTGCTTTCCCCTTTTTTCAGCTTCTGGGCAGCAGCTTTCTTTGACAGGCTGATCTGTGAATCAAGTTTTTTAAGGAAGTCCGAGGCTGAGAGATCATGAGTGGGTGTGGAGGGGTTCTGGCCAGGTGTGGAGAGGACTTCACCATTGGCACGTCTTGAACCTGCCTCTTGCTTTTTCCTGTCAGCTGAATGTGGCCGAGCTTTATCCTTGCTTGGTGGTACCTCTTCCTCCTCCTCTTTTTCTTCTTCAGAATCCAAACCATTGAAAAGGTCTCTGGGCTCTGTCAGGATGGGGATGTAGAGGGTTTTCTTCAGGAAGATGGAATCATTAGTATAAAGGCGGTTTGCACGCTTAATCTGTTCCATCTTAAAAGAAAATTCACCAAAATTAATAATAGAATGATTAATATTACACTTAATAGTATTTCATGCTTTAAAAAAAGTGATTGTACAAAGTCTTATCTGACCCTATAACAACCAAGCCAAAGTATAAAGGGCTGATACTTTCCTGTTTTATAGATCAGTGGTTTTTACACTATTTGATCTCAGGGGCCCTTTTACATTTTTTAAAACTATTGAGGAACTCAAAGACCTTTTGTTTACGTGAGTAATAGTTGTCAATATTGAATGCATTATAAGTTAAAACTGAGAAAATTTAAAAACATGTATGATTATTGATTTTAAAATAGCAACCCTTTTACATATTGAAATTAATATTTAAATGAAAAATATGTATATGTTTCAAAACAAGAACAAAAAAATGAGAAGGCAGGTACTGTTTTACATTTTTGCAAATTGCTTTAATGGCTGACTTAATAGAAGACAATTAGATTCTTCTATCTGCATCTCAGTCAATCTGGTATAGGATCATGTGTCATGCAGTCTGTGGAAAACTCTAATATGCAGTCATGAGAGAATGAGAATGAAGACAAATAAAAATGACTTCTTCTTATTACTATGATGAAAATTTTGACCCTGTGAACCACTACAAAAGTCTCAATGACCTCTCAGGATCCCCAGACCTCACTTGAGAATTGCTGGAAAAGATGAAGAAACTGAGACTCTCAGAGCCTAAGTTTATTTAGAAAATTAATGGTAGGGCTAGAAATAGAATCCTGGACCCTTATGTCCCTTTTTGGACTGCTTTCCCCAGTATACTATTAGTAATTTCACTGATGAAATATTATAATTTTTAACTCCTTCCACCATTCATATCCAACTGGTTAACAAAACCCCAAAAGCCAAACCCAAGGCCTCTGAGTGGATTCTGACTCACAGCAACCAGACAGCACAAAACAGAACTGCTCCGTGGGGTTTCTGAGGCTGTGAATCTTCACAGCAGCACACTACCTCCTCTTTCTCCCCCAGAGCAGCAGGAGTGTTCCAACAACCAACCTTTTGGTTAGCAAACACCAACGCTTAATCCATGGCACCACTGTGGCTTCTTGGTCAACAAAAGTGCTTCAAAAACCTTACATATGGTCTCATCTTTATCTCTACTGCTATTGTTTTAGAAACCCCAAAACCAAACCCACTGCCACTGAGTTGATTTTGATTCCGGGTGGCTCAATGGGACAGAGTAGAACTGCCCCATAGTGTTTCCAAGGCTGTGAATTGTTACAAAATCAGACTGCCCATAGTACTTTAGAACAAACACTTAATAGTTTTCATCTGGATTATTCAGGTTTTAACTGGTCTTTCTCTCCCCTTTTCTACCTATCCTCTATTCTGCTGACATTTATCTTTCAAAATCAATCAATCAATCAATCTGCTTGTTTATAACCTCCTATGGCGCTTGCTTCCCCCATTCCCTAAAAGATAAAATCCAAATTAGCATCCAAGGACTTTCCCAATCTAACTCAGCTAGAAAATGTCTACTTTCATCTCTTTCCTGTCACTTATACATTTTGCCCTTTCTATCAACACTCTATGCTCTTTCACACATTTATGTGGTATCCATGCTATTCCTTCTGCCTGAAATCTCTCTCCACTAAGCCCTTCTCTGCTGGGAAAACTTGTACTCATCGATATCACTCCCTTTATGGTACCTTATCAGGGGCATACTGTAAATGTTGACAAAATATTACCTACTCTATGATACCGTTACTTCCTGCTTGTCTTTCTCACCACCCAGTAAGTCCTTTAGGGGGATGAGATGGGAATATGCTGTTTTATATCCCCAAGACATCATTCAGCACCTCACAATGTTTCATATGAATGAGGTTCATTCATGACTTTTATAAACTAGTAAATTTGTTATTGTGAAGTGCCATCAAGTCAGTTCCGACTCATAGTGACCCTGCATAGGATTTCTGAGGAATGGCTGGTAGGTTTGAACCATCACCTTGCGATTCAAACCGACCATGCAGTCCAATGCTTATCCTACAGTGTGTCACCACAAATATAGTTGTTGTTGCTAAGTGCCATCCATAGAGACCCTGTATAGGGTTTACGAGGAGCAGCTGGTGAGCTTGAACTACCTACCTTGCAATTCAAACTGACTTTGCAATCCAGCACATTAATCCACAACGTCACACCAGGACTGCAGAAATTGTCAGTTCTGGAAACCCATAATCAGCTTGAAAAGCCACATTTGTAAAATATCAAAGTAGCTTCTACCCTGGGGCAGAAACATCATAATAATGGTGTGGTAGTTATGTGCTGTGCAGTCGGTTCTGGCTCATAGAGACCCTGTACAGTGTTTTTGAGGCTATAAATCTTTATGGGAGCAGAAAGCCTCATCTTTCTCTCACGGAACAGCTGTTTGTTTTGAACTGCTGAGGTTAGCAGCCCGATTCATAGATTCATAACCACTATGCTACCAGAGCTCCTATCATAATAATAGTTGACGAATAAAATTTTAGAATGTTATTGTTGTTGTTGTTAAGTTCCGTGGAGTCGATTCCGACTCATAGAGACCCTGTATAGGGTTTCCAAGGAGCAGCTGGTGAGCTTAAACGACCGACCTTTCAATTCAAACGACTTTGCAATCTGACGCATTAGCCTACAGCACCACACCAGGGCTCCTTATATTGTTATTGTATGGTTAAAAATAAAATCAGATTAATCTGAACAATAAAAAGAAGTACGATTGGCTTGTACTTTAGCATTTTTACTTTGCCAAGTGCTTCTACGTTATTAATTTTATTTTGTCTAGATAATATTCTCTGTCCCTTCCAGCTTCAAGATATTATAATCTGTGAAGTTTCTATTTCCTTTATTATATCTAAGAAGCACCATATAATGGGACATCATCCTCCTTTTAAAAAGGATATATCCTGGTGTGGCGCTGTGGGATAATGCACTGGACGGCAAGGTTGATTTGAACTGCAAGGCCAGTGGTTCAAACTCACCAGCTGCTCCTTGGAAATCCTATATAGGGTCGCTATGAGTCAAACTGACTGGATGGCACTTATCAACAACAATCCAGGGTCAAAGCCCAGAGGGACTCTGGGCCACAGAGCTACAATCTTTTAAGAGCTAGAAAGGGCCTTTAATTCTAGTTAGTATAACAAATAAAAACAAAATCAAGCCTGTTGACAAGGAGTCAGTGCTGACTCACAGTGACCCTAACAGGACAGAGTAGAACTACCCTAAGGGTTTCCAAAAATCCTGGTGTGGCACTGTGGCTAATGTGCTGGACTGCAAAGTTGGTTTGAACCACAAGGTAGGCGGTTCAAGCTCACCAGCCATTCCTGGGACCCCTATACAGGGCTGCTATGGGTTGGAACAGACTCAATGGCACTCATCACCACCACCGATCTTTATGGAAGTAGACTCCCACATCTTTCTCCTGCAATGTGGCTGGTTAGGTTCCAGTCCCCACCTTTTGGTTAGTAGTTGATCTGCTTACCCACTGTTCTATCAGTCAGTATGTTGTTAACTAGTGCAGTTAACATTCCAGTGCTTATCCTACACCACCATACCAGGAACCTTCCGTTTAAATATAATAAAGCGATTAAAAATGAGGGCTATAGAATGAGACAAGCTGGTCTGAATTCTTCTTGTTGTTAGGTGCTGTCTTGAGTCAGTTCTGACTCATATTGACCTTATGCAGAACAGAACAAAGCACGGCCGATCCTAGGCCATCCTCACAATTGTTACAGATGAGCCCTGTTATACAGTCACTGTGGTATCCATCCCATTGGAGGTCTTCCTCTTTTTCCCTGACCTCCACGTGATGTCCTTCTCCAGGGACTCCATGATGTCCGTCCTAAGAATATGTTCAAAGAGATGAAGTTTCACCATCCTCACTTTTAAAGAGCATTCTGATTGTACTTCTTCTAAGACAGATTTGTTTGTTCTTCAGGCAGTTCATTGTACTTTCAATATTCTTCGTCAACACCATAATTCAAATGTATCAATTCTTCTACAGTCTTCTTTATTCATTCATTGTCCAACTTTCACAAGCACATGAGGTGACTGAAAATACCAGGGCTTGGGTCAGGTACAACTTAGCCCTCAAACTGACATCTTTGCTCCTTAACACTTTATAAAGGTTTTTTTGAAGCAGATTTGCCTAATGCAGTATGTCTTGATTTCTTGATTGCTGCTTCCATGAGTCCTAGCTTTACCAATTATACTAATTGAATGATCTATGTAAAGTTTTCTCCCTAGACTTCAGTTTCCTCATCTTTAAACGGGAATTGTTACACCTATGTCACAGAATCTTATGGATATTAATAAAAGGGTGAGTCAAAATGCATTGCTACAAAATCAAAGCAGCATTTATTAAACAAAAATTTCAAAATGTGAAGCTATTAGTTCTCAACATATCCTCCATCTATGCATTTTTTGAAGAGGAATTTCTGCCTCTCTAACACTTCTCCAGAAGTTCTGGTGTGGTGCTATAGGATAAACACTGAACTGATAACCACAAGGTTGTTCAAACCCACTAGCCACCCCTCAGAAACCCTATACAGGGTCACTATGAGTTAGAACCAACTCAACAACACTTAACAACAATAACCCATCCCAAAAATAATTCTATGTTCTTTGATTTACGCATCCTCCAAGGACTGAAATAGGGTTCTTTTTCATTGTTCTTTGTGTTTAGAGAACAAAAAGTCTTAGGAAGCAAGATCAGCTCTGTAGGATGGATGGAGTAAGGTCTCCCAACAAAATTCTCCTAGGATAGCTCTTACTACGCTTGAAGAATGAGCAGATGCATTGTTGTGATGGAAAAAATATTACTTGGCACAACTTTCCAGGACCTTTTCTCAACAATGCAGTTTTCCATTTTCTTAAAACATCTTCATAATAAACTCCTATAATAGTCCTGTGTCATTTGAGAAAACCTATCAAGATGACTCCTTTGGAATCCCAAAAAAACTTTTAACTTTGTGAGCTGATATGCTAAGAATATATGCTTTGAACTAAAGTGGCCAGCAGATCCCCTTGGAAACCCCTGTTTTTATTGGACCTTTTTATTGAGGGCTCCCTAACAAGACTAAGACAAATAAAATACTGAGAGAACCTGTCTGCAGCTATCCACTGATCACAGAGACATGTTTAAACATGTTCTATTTGGAATAAACCTGTGCATATATGAACTGGAACCCAGGTAGCAATACTTTTTGACTTACCTTCTCTATATATACACACACACATATATACACACATACATGTATAGAGTTTTCCATGTAGCAAGTCTCCCTTAAATGGTAAGTAGATAACTTAGGTAATTATCATTATTTAATATATTGTCCTTATTTTACTAATAGTGAGGAAATTGAAGTTCCAAGAAGTGAAGTGACTTAAACAAAGTCACTCAGCCAGTAAGCAGCAGAATGGGCACTAGAATCTAGGCCTTTTTTGATTAGCTACACAGCTGCTCTGTCTTAGGAAGGGTACAGAGAAAGGGAAAAAAAGAAAGAAGTCTCAGTACTTGTTAATTCACTGGTAGCCAGTTTCCTTGTTAGTAAGGTTGCCCTGTACTTTCATACCCATTTCCTTTGCGTATGCTATTCCTTCTGCTTGAAATGTTCTCATTCCTGTATTCCCAATCTCTTATGCCTGGAAATCTTAGCCATACTCATTCACTCATTTAAAATATCTATTAAGTTTCTGTGTGCTAAGGACAATACCAGACTTTAGGGATGTAAAATAGAAAAGAAGTAAGTTTCTACACTTAAGACAAGTATATTGCTACTGTTGTTGTGTGCCATGGAGTTGCAAAGGGACCCTAGAGGACAGAGGAGAACTGCTCCATCAGGGTTTCCTAGGCTGCAGTCTTTTTTTTTTTTTGGCTTATATAGGATTTTTAAAAATGGTTTATTGTGAATTATGTGATAGTTTACATGGAAGAACATTAGTTTTACATTCATCCTATTGTATATGCTTCATCAACCAACCAAAGGGTATACACTACAAGCCTGTCCCCTGGTCACCAGCACATAGCCCCTCTCTGGATCTAAAGTCCCCAACTGCTCCATCTCTCCACGTCATCCTCTCTGTCTCCATCTCTGGCATCACTGCTTCTCTGGGTAGGGTCCCGCTCTCTACTCTTCTCCCTTGATGGCTCCAGGGACCTCCGCTCCTAGACTGAAAAGTTAATCACTCCCCTCCTTGCTACAAAACGTCTACCTTTACATTTCAAACCCTCACAATCCGTCCTGATAACAATTATTCACTATTGTATCACAAGAGACCTATCCGCATTTCATTTCATCAACCCCGCCTAGACAGACTGGATACTACTCAGTGGAGATTCTACCTTCCTCCACACCCACTGGATCTAGGTTTCCTAGGTTGCAGTCTTAATAGGAACAGATCAAAGCCTCATCTTTCTCCTGTGGAACAGCTGGTAGTTTTGAACTGTTGACCCTGAGTTAGCCCGATTCATAACCACTACACTACCAGAGCTCGGTGCCCCTGGTATTTTCAAATTACCAGCATTTAGGTTAGCAGCTGAGCGCTTAACCACTGAGCTATACAAACACTCCTTTAAGGAGAATATAAACTATTGGGAAGACAAAAACCTACATAAACAATAATACTATACAAACCATAGAGAGAAGCATAGAGGAAAACATTTCTAAGTCTTCTAAGGACTATAGTGATGGCTCCCTCAAAACCTGCACCAATGTTTGCCTCTACCCTCTTCCAAGTAGAAATTACTCTCCTTTTCTAATTTCCCATCCGTTATTAGCACCTCTACAAATTCACCACATTCTGTCACCTACTATCAATATTTTTGTCCCAGGCAATTTATCACTAGACTGTCAAATTACATGAAGGCAGCAGCCACACTCTATTTGTTTCTATCGCCAAGATAGCCACCACAGTCTTTTAAATACAGCAAGCACACAAATAGTGGCAAGAATCAACATTTGCTTGGATGAGATTGAACTGGATATGGAAAACTGCCAACTCTAATGCAATATATTTTTTACACCTAAAAAAATACAGCTTACACTTAGTTGGTGTAAACAGTACCTGTTCCTTACCAAGAAAAGCCATCTTACTGGGAAGAAGGAGGCAGAGAGAGCACTGAGAAGAGAAAAAGTACAAGAAGAAACAGGCATTCCACAGAACTAAAAGCCAGCTCTCCAATATTTGCTGTAAATGTGTAATCACTCTCAATTATTAAGTTTCTAAATAGTTAATAAGATTACTGGCTTTAGAGTCTGACCCACCAGTTTGAATTCCAGCTCAGACACACTTAGCTATTTGATTTGGGTAAAACTGGTTAACTGATCAATCCAAGTGTCAGTTTCTTTATCCACAAAAAGGGAAAAATAATTTGTATACTTGACAGGGATGTGAGGATCAAATGGAAGGGCGTACGTAAAGCACGAAGCATAGTACTTCAATAAGTAGGAGTTGCTCCTCCCCATTAGGGTGGTAGGACAGGATCTGTCCTAACCAGACAGAGAGCAACAATGATAAGGGAAAACAAAAAGATAAAGGCAGAACAGAGACAGTCCCGATTAGGAAAAAATCGGGGGAATTTACCTAGAAGAGTCACTGATTTCGGGATATTCTCTCCTAATTAGTTGTCAGCACCTAGTCCTGGAAGACTCACCGTCACCCCATATTTGAGTGCTAGTCCGGCCAGAGTGTCTCCAGGTTCCAACTGATGCTCCAGGCGTCTTTCCCTCACTGGGGAGCACGCAGATTGTACCAGGCTTCCATAAGAACGAGCTCGGCTCCCTTGAAGCAGTCCTGAACCCCCGAGAGGGGGCTGTCTAGAGGGAGAAGCCATCTCTTCACCCTGCTGACAGCTGGGGTAGCGACTGACGGAGAACTGGGTAAGTGACGAGGCGGGGTCTGGGAATGGATACCCAGGAATGTTCCTTCCCCTTCTCTCCAAAATCTTCCCTCTTCGTTCTCCGCCCTCAGCTCACCTCCACTCTCCGAACCTCTACGGGCCCCAGGCACTCCTCTCCACCCTTCCCTAGGGAGCTAGGATATTATAGGCAGATGCTATCAGCGCTTGCTTTTTCTTCTTCCAAGCCCCTATACCATAAACCCGGCACCTGGGTATTCAATTTCTACTAGAGTCTCCCTCTGGAACCTCCACACACGCAACAATTCGCTACACTGACCTCTGACCTTTGAACTTTATGTACCCTCCCCCCCATAACACCGTTTCCTTAGTCAGCTCTCCAGTGGGCAGCTAGTCCTCTGCGCCCCCTCCCCACTCACCCCGGCTCCACCCCGCTCTGGGGTTGGTCCTCTAGGGTCAAGATAAAGTCCGGCCCACGCCAGATGTGCTGGCTCCGTAGACAAAGCGTGTGAAGATGGCAAGTTTGTCGTTCACGCCTCGGAAACCTTACACAGGATCGCTGAGTCGGGATCGACTCTACAGCACGTAACAACAACAACCCACTCAGAGATCCTTAAGGTCGGGCTCCACATCAGATTGATCTTAAATTCGGGCTCAAGCATTAGCTCCACATCTAAGCTCTTGGCTCTCCAAATGTCTCGAATCTGCCACGATGGGAAGGCCTGTTTCCAGCTGGGAGACAAGTTCTTTGAGAAAAGACTTCATTTCCCAAAAGGCTTTGCGCATGCGGGGTCGCAGGGCACCATAGGAAATGCAGTCTACTTTGGAGGAGAGGCGTGCTTTCGGAATCGCGCAGTGCATGCGGGGAAGCGCGTTCGCGGAAGTACGGAAGCCAACAGGAAAAATATCGGAGGAGGAAGAGGAAACTTCCCTCTCTGGCTACGGTGGCCTGAAAGGAGTGACTAACGCGCTGCGAGCGAGTTTATCATTTACAGTCGCGATGTCTTTCAAGAGGGAAGGAGACGATTGGAGTCAACTCAATGTACTCAAAGTAAGTGCAAAAGGAGAGGGTGTGGAGCAGCTTCAGCCGCCCTCTGAAAACTACTAAGGAGCTTTGTTTCCTTGCACTGGCAACAGCACCAGGGAGTGGGGGACGAGTGGGAGCCAGGCTACTAGAGTTGGGTGGTGACCTCTTTTTTGCCCTGTGACCGCTGGTCAACAGTGACAAGGCGATAGTCTTCATTCTTTGACTCCTCGTCCCTATCATTTCCTTTCCATCTTTCTTCCTGTTCCGATAATCTCCCGGACTTCTCCGCGTACCCCATTCAGAAACGAAGAGTCGGGGACTTGCTGGCCAGTTACATACCGGAGGATGAGGCGCTAATGCTACGGGATGGACGGTGAGAACGAGCGAGTAGTGGCTCAAGCCTAAGGGTTCTGCGATTGGAGGCTCAGTAAGCTTTTGTTATTAAGGAGGAGTTCTGGAACATCTAGAATTCTTTGGCAGGGAGTGAGGAACTGCAACTGTCCGGGATGTGAGTGGTGGAGGTTAGCAAACCTGAGAATTGGACTTTGGAAGAAACTATTAAGACAGGATGGAACCTACAGCAGTCCTCCCATCCCTACCTCTGGACCAATTAACTTCTATCTCCCTCCTCAGCTATGCTTGTGCCATCTGCCCTCACCGGCCTGTTCTGGACACCCTGGCCATGCTGACTGCTCACCGTGCAGGGAAGAAACATCTGTCCAGTAAGTTTAGAGGAAGATGGGTCAGAGTGTAAACCGCAGAACTGCTGCAGACCACTCTTGGTGCTTTCCTTTTAAGTCCTTTCCCCTTTACTTCTCAGGCTTGCAGCGTTTTTATGGCAAAAAGCAGCAGGGAAAGGGAATGGAAATGAATCCAAGACAACAGAATGAAATGAGAAGGGAAGAGACTAACACTGAGGTAATAGAGAAGGGGAGATGTGTCCCAGACAAGACCTGGCTGCACACTCCAGGTTTGAAAGACTTGGGCTTCTATAGCTCTGAAGACTCATAACTTTCCCTCCAAACTCTGTACCAGGCTCCTCTGCTGGCCCAGACTCGACTGATCACTCAAAGCGCTCTGCACAGAGCTCCCCACTATAACAGTTGCTGCCGGCGGAAGTACAGGTCTGTAAAATGAGAAAGACAAATACGGTTTTTTAAGGATGGAAAATAGGGAACGGATATCATTACTGTATTAACTCTTAGACATATGCCTATGATCCATTTTAAGTTCATTTTTATAGATGGGATTCTTTGGAATGTAGATTATCCCTTTGTCCAGTCACCATTTGTTGAGAAGACTATAATTTCCCCATGGGATATTGTTGTATTAGAAGGAATTAAGAATAGGGGAATTACTGCTGAAAGGTATTTCATATTGGCTAGGGAAATAAAAAAGGAGCTCTGGTAGCATAGTGGTTACGAATCAGGCTGCGAACCACAAGGTCAGCAGTTCGAGACTACCAGCTGCTCCGCGGGAGAAAGATGATGCTTTCTGCTCCCGTAAAGATTTACAGCCTCAGAAACCCTGTACAGGGTCGCTATGGGTCGGAACCGACTCAGTGGCACTTAATAACAACAACAACAGGGAAATAAAAGATGGAGACAATGGGTGGAAAAGAACTACTGGTGTGGGACTCAGTCGGAAGGGACAGAGAGGTAGATGTCGGTAAAATTATTGGTTTCCAAATCATATTCTGAGGAATACTGGTGTTCTAAAGATGCTAATTGGTATTCCATTAAGAAGAGAATTTTGTGATGTCAAAGGACGTTTGAGAAATGGTGCTTTATAATTCTGGTTGAAGAATACTAATATTACCATATTTAAAGAGCTGAAGAAAGTCTTGGAGAAAAAACAAGTAAAATGTTTTGTCTACCCCCTAGTCTTTTCCAAATTCATTTGATTTCAAAATCCTAATCAAGAGCTCAAGGAACACAATTTAGGAAACATTTTTTGAAGGGATTGGGAATCACAGGAGAGAGACTTGGCCCTTTCCTTAACTGCTTTTACAGACTTCACTCCTTCTCTACCCAGATCAGAAGTTCCTGGTCCCTCTGTCTCCCTTTCCCCTTTACCATCCCCAGGAGTGGAACTCCAAAATGAGGAGATCAGCAAGGAATCTGAGCTGGAAGCTGGTCCACAGGCCAAGAAGTCGGCAACTGTCTCAACCCCTGCACCTATGAGCCCCACAAGACGACGAGCTGTGGATCATTACCTCACCCTTCGAAGGTAAGGGTACCAAATCACTTTCCTCAGATTCTTTTTCCTCTGATCTTCCTTTTTTCAGACCTACTCCATTGTTGTTGTTTTTTAATCCTCACTGGTATGGCACTGTGGGTTAATGCCCTGGACTGCTAGGTCAGTTTGAACTGCAAGGTTGGTGGTTCAAGCACACCAACTGCTCCTTGGAAACCCTACACAGGGTCACTGTGAGTCGGAACTGACTCGACATCACTTTAACAACTTCTTAATAAACCTCCTGTCCTCATTCTGACCAATTTTCTTTTCTCTAATATTTCTAGTTCTGGATGGATCCCAGATGGACAAGGTCGGTGGGTGAAAGATGAGAATGTTGAATTTGATTCTGATGAGGAGGAACCTCCCGACATTCTCCTGTACTGACATCCTTTTTCCCCAGTTTCCAAATAAACTATCACAGGCGCCGGCAGCCTAATTTTCCTTGAGTCTTGTTTGTTGCTCCATCTCAAGATTTCACATCTGTCCACTCTCAGGATAACACTTCTTCCCTACAATGTCTACAGCTCCCCATACTTCTAACCCCTCCCCCATCTTCTACCAAAGTCATGCCAAGCGTCAGCTGCATTCAGCCTGGTGCCCTATTAATAAAGTCTGTCAGAGGAGGTCTTTGCCCTTCATGTTGTCTGCCTCCTTGCCACCTCCATTGAAAGTACTTTCCCACTTCAGTTCACATGAAGGCTGTGGGTAAGCACTGGAGGGAGAAGGAGTAGGAGGGGGCTGACCACATCTGGAAATAGGACTGAGACTAGGTACCTTTGAAAGTAGAATAGACCAAAGGCATTGGCAGAGTAATGGGGAACACCAGGGAGGGAGCTCCTCCACCTCCTTCTAGTAACCTGAACCTCCCTGCCTGCTGATCCCCAGGGTATAAATAATCCCTTGGTGAACTGGCAATAACCCCTGGGGGTTAATGCCAAGATTCCCACCCCATAGCCCAAGAAAGGAGGCTTGCAATGTAGATAGAAGGGCCTTTATTTACAGGAAGGGGGATAGATGAGGATTTAAACATCCAAGCTCCCAGCTCTTGTTGGTATAAGGGAAAGGCAGAGTTACACCTTCTTCTGCTGACGACCTGTAAAGGAGGAAGAGGAAACACACATCTTTGTCCTGTCCTTCTGCAATAGCATGCTTCTCTTCCAGTCCCTTACACAGACTCCAAGAGGTAATGTTTTTAAGCCACTTGACAGGTTCACATCGCATTCAGAAAATAAAATAAACCATACCATGCCTCCAAATGGTTATCTCTAACTTCCTTTCCAACTCTCCACTGGTGTATGAGGGGGCTTCAAAAAGCTCATGGAAAAATGGAATTCAGAGATAATGGAGTTCTTTTACAAACTTTTTGAAGCACCCTCGTATATATCTTGGGCAGGTCTACTTCCTGATCATTCATAGGATTTAAACTTCTCACTTGAATGTGTCTTTCACAGCACTGAGGCTGTTGCTCGCTAAGTCTATACTGGGGAGAATCCACCAGCTTCTATACCTCTTTGCCCGGTCCCCACCACTCCATGTCTGCGATCACTCACGTAGTTCGTTATTCCGAGTCATGGCATTGGCTGCCCGAGCACGTGGCCCTTGCTGTGTGAAGTGGTAGCCAAATCGGACAATGGAGGGACACTGCTCTATCACAGTAGCCATCTCCATCTCTACTGCATCACCAGGCCACTGGCGCTAGAGAAGGGAGAGGCAGGAAGCTAGCAGTTACCCTCTCTGGGCTTCAGCATCCAGACCATGGACAGAGTCAAATGGAGAACCACAGTAGGTGATGAGAGGTGTTGACTTGGGCCCTCATAGAGACAGTGGCATAGAGGAGAATTCACACAAGATTAAATCAGGTAGCTAGCCCAGCGGTTGCCTCAGGAAGGGAGCTGGGTGGGTGTTAGCTGACTGTAAAGACAGGAAGGGAATGCTGACCTGGTTGTCTACACGGAGCTCAGTAAGTGTGGCATTTTCCCGAACTGCCTTCAGCACAGCCATGAGCCCTGTGCTGCTAATGAAGTTGGATTCGATGTTGAGGCTCTGGAGGCTACGATTTTCACGCAACATGTCAGCCACCGCCTGGGTAGTAGGGACTTGGGTTAGGATTAGGGAGAAGTTTCACAGATGACTGAGGAGAGAAAGAACAGGAGCAAGAGGGAAACACAGCTCTTTGAGTCCTTGAGGAGCTGTAAGTGGGGCTAGAGGGGAGCAGAAGGGAGGTGGGTCTTAAGGGAAGCAGGGGGATTAAGTGTGCAATGGAGTTGGGAGTGTTAGAGCTGTAACCCTTTGGGAAAATGAGGATTGCAGAGCTGTGACCCATAGAACTGATGGAGAACATGATAAAACAGCCCTGCCAGGGATGCATGTTGACTATGGGGAGAGGGCTGAACATGTCAACAAGCCTTACATTGGCAATAGGGTCACCACTCTTTGTGGCCACCAGACTGAAGGTTCGGATATAGGTATTTGTCTTCATTGCTTCACACAGCTCAGTTAACATGGGTATCGGGATGTCCTATGGGCAGGAGAATAGAAGGTTGTGGGCTCAGATGTATTAGCAGAGTGAGCCCACTGTTGTTTGGAGGATGGGCAGCAATACCTTTATATTATTGAGGTTCACTTCTTCCAGCTCCTTGTCATTGCTTCGAACCCTCTTTAGTATTTCCTCGATGTTTGTGGGATTTGGGGGCTCATCTGGCACTGGCTTATACTTGTCAGGTTGCACCACACCTGGTGGGTGAGGGCAGGAAGGGAGCCCCAACATGTCCCCCAGAATCTCTTCTTATACTCATGCCCTCTCCCTGATTCACCTGTTTCACCCTTTTACTACCTTTCCTCAGACTCTGAGACTACCTACCCAAAACCTTGGGGTCACACTTCCCAAACACATACTCACTGCTAATGCCTTCAGTGTTGCAGATTTCTCCGCTGCAGATGGCATCATAGTATTGCTTGTTGCTCATCAGTGTGTACATGCCCAGAATTGCTGGAGAGGGTAAGCAGAATGGGGCATGAGGAATGAGAAGGGATCTGTTCCAAGCACCCTTCAACCTCATTCTGAATTTGCTGTTAGCATTTTTAAAGCCTAACCTCATCTACTCCTTCACACAGGTTTCCCATCCTCCCTAGGCCCCAAGAGTCCTTTCCATAAACTGCCCAAGGCAGTGATTTTTAATAACTTTCAGATAGGGCTAAAGGAATGTCCCTAAGGAGCCATAGAGGGTGAGGGGAGTCTGTTCAGATCCTTTCCTGATTTCAGCCAGAATAGCTCAACTCTTCTTTGCTTTTATAATCCCTGTAAAATTGCCCTTGCGGTGTTAACTAAATTGGAAAAACGAATGAATGAATACAAAAACAAGTAAGAAAAATGAAAACCCACTGCCTTTGAGGCTCTCTCTGCCCTCTGTAACCTGTTTCAGGGCCTTTCCCACCAGCCTTCTGCCAGGCTAGGATGTCCCTGCTTTTCCCACCACCTCCAACTTCTCATAGCTGCCTACCTGCAATGTCACACATCTCAGCATCTGTGGCATTGGCCAGTGCCTCCTCCAGCTCCGGCTCCAGGGTGATTTGCTCCTCTGCTGGGATTTCCCTCTTGGGCTGAATATAGGGTTTCCCTGAGGGGGAGACAAAGGATGGCTCAGGTAGAGGCTGTTTCTCTCAAGATACTGACCTCCAGCTTCCTTTCCTTCTCTGCAAGGTGGAATGCTGGGTAACTAGGGGACACTAGAAATTCTGAGTTCTCCACAAGCTCAGGAATCACATCTCTTAGATGAAGTCCAGAGTGTAAGCCTAGATGCAGACATCAGGGCACCTGAGTCCCTGGGAAGCTGGTAGATGAGGGAAGCTGGCTGGATAGGGCGGGGCTGGGGGTGAGGGATAGGGCATATAAGAAACAGCCATTTGGGTTCCCGGAAGCAAGGGTATCAGGGTCCTCATACCTTTCTTCTCGCCTGTGAAGGGCACCAAGTCATCACGCTCTTTGACCTCTAGTGCCTGCTGTTCCAGGTATTGCAAAAGGGCCTCTCGGTCCAATGGCCCCGTTGGGCTCTTCTTTGTCTGGTCACGTTGTCTTAGTCCAGCTGGCAGGAGCATGTTCTTAGGGATGAGTTTTGGGGAGCAAGTCAGACCTCTATTCTGACTGGGGTACCTCTAGGGCTCCCTAAAATATCTTCAGACATTTTTCCCCTGGCCTTCTTGGGACTTCAGGCCCTGTAGACAGACAACCCTGGTCTCAGCCACCCAGGGCCCAGCACCCTTGCCAAATGCCTGGAGACTGCCCCGGGTTCGCTGTGGATGATCTGGACTCGCCACTGAAACCCCTACCTCAGGGTCCATTTCCTGTAGCTCGCAGTCCAGCTGCTCTAGCTCTTCCGGGCTCAAGGTCCTTAGGATCTCATCTTCATCTATGTCTCTGTATTTCTCCAGTTCCTTCTGATATGATGACATGGTGGCCCCCACCCTTCCCTACTGTGTGGTGCTCACACAGGCTCGGGAGCCTGGGGAACATGGGAAGAATGGTTGAACAATGGAAGTACATGGATGCAATAGGGACACCAAGAATCAGCCAGTGGGACAGAACAAAGAAATTATAAATCTAATTGTGGATAGGAAGTTGGGGTTAGGTTGTATGTAGTTAAACCCAGAACCTCCTTCTTCCTGCTTCACCAGCCTCCACACACTGGATGATGATCCAAGCTGGGTTTACCTTCCCACTGTATGACGGAGAAACCTTGGCAGCACCCCTCCCCTATAACCTCGGCCGTCAGTGCTGCCTCTCACCCTCACACAGCTGCTGGGGCACCTGCCAACACAACTGGCCCCATGCCTAGTTCCTACTGAAAGGAAAGAGGTGGGCAGAGAGCTTCAGGGAAATTCGTCCTCTCTTCCCCATAGCCCTAAACCAGTCAAGTAAAGCAAGGATTATGGAGGCGGAAAAGGGCATTTCTTTCATACTACTCCCTTTTCTTCTTTTATTATACAGCAGACGAAGAGTTCACTGTCTATGTTTGCTAATACTCTAAATCTAAGGAAAGTAAACATTCAGGTCTGGGGAACTTCCATGTTGGGAGAAGGATGTGGTTAAGACCTCAGGAGAAAGGACTGAGTTCCCCTAGTTTGTCCCTAGCTTTGGATGGGAAGGTGACACTGGTCCAATGGGTGAGAAATAGCTTTTAAATGGGATAGTTTCTTTAAAAGCAGTGGGAGGATTAAACTTGCTCAGTCTCTTCCAATATGAAAAATACAAGCTGCACATATACACCATGTCAAATATGAAAGTGACACAAAAGGTGAGACACATACTGACATACAGACGGGCTAGGACAGACAGTGGCAGAAACATACATACACTGAGTGACAAGAGACAGCAGCACACTCTATACCACTTCCAATTGGTGGCACTCTTCTCCCCACATCTCCCACCAAGCTCTGACCCATAAGCCCCCTGCTTTCCCCACCTACCAGTTCTGGTGGCCACCTCCCTTCTCACCTCCCCTTCCGTTGGTCAGTCTGTCTGTTCTACTGAAGCACAGTCCCGGCAGCAGGAGGAGTCCAGTGCAGGGGGGAAAGGGTGGGGGAACAGTGAGCTCAGCATTTTATTATTTTAGCTCTGACCAGGTGGGGGGTAGTGGGAGATCACATATACAGCCCCCATAACCTGCCCAGCCCTGAGAACCTCTAGTGGCCACTAACAGGCATGGCACCTCCCCTTTTCTTCCCACAAGCCTGAGTCCTAGACTCTGGAGTTCCATAATAATTGATTTAGTAAGCATCTGGTGCCTGTTGGTATGGTGCTATAGGATAAACACTGGACTGCTAACCACAAGGCTGGCAGTTCATACCCACCAGCCACTCCTTGGAAACCCTATACAGGGTCACTATGAGTCAGAACTGACTCGACAGCACTTAACAACATAATATTCAAAGCAGTTTTCTAAGGAATATAAACATGAATATAATTTTGTTTGGTGACTAAGTTTAAGGCATTTTTTATAATCTAGTTGGAAGAGTATAATTTAAAAAATGGTGGCGCAAAATAAAGGCTATAAAATATAGACATTCACAAATAAATACTCCTGGTTTCTAACCGTATAGTAAGCACCAGTCAAAAGGGATCATCAATTTTATTAGATTAAAAAAACATCAAACCAGCAGGAACTAAGGGGAAAGAAAAACGGGTTGGGGAAAGAAATATCAGAGAGGATAGAGAGAAGCAGAGAGAGGAGGGGGAACGTTGAGAGACCCAAGACGGAATAGTATAAAGGTTTCTAAGGAGTAGACATCTTCATTTGATAACAATTTTTTGACGCAAGGCTCGGGGCCCAGGGCCAGGGAGGGGCTCAGGAAGTGGTGGGCCAGGGCCAAGAGCTGAGGCCGTTGGTGGCAGTCCGTGGGCAGTAATGTATTTCTTGTAGGCCTCACGAATGATCTTGAAAGCTCGAGCAGTAGCATAGGGTATGTCTGTAACAGGGTCCCTGTATAAGGCTGGGCGATGAGTTACTGGGCAGACTTCCCGAACAGGGACTTTTGGAGGCCGACCCTGGGGGAACCATTCCTCGAATGTTGCATCATCACTAAATGTGATGAAGGTACGTGAGCAGCGGGGAGGGGGGATGACTGGTCCAGTTCCAGCATGGGGAGTCAATGCAGAAGCCGTGGGAGCAGGATCAAGTCTGAGGGCAAAAGAGAGAAAAAAACATAAATAAGGAGCTAAGGAGAGAAGAAAACAGATAACGAAAGAGATAAAAAATGAGGAGAGAGAAAAAGGAGGCAGACTGATAGTACATTTGAGAGAACATATTAAGTAATAGAGAAAAACAAGAAAGAGAGAAAGAAGTCAGAAAAAGAAAGAGCTGAAGGAAGGAATCTGAAAGATATCTGAGTGTTACGGTGAACTATGTGAGGAAGGTAAAGGGAATGGGGCAAGAGAATATGAACCCCTTTCCTTTTCCCTCAAGAATCACTTACCCTTCTACATCGACGTTCTCTTCCTTAGGACCTGGCTCCCCAACAAGTGGCACTGTCACGGAATGGTAGGTGATTATGGGCCCAGGGCACTTCCGTTTCTTGTGAACCTGTTTCTTTTTGTCAGCCTCAAGCCGCTCATATGTCTCTTCAGGGTAAAAAGAAGGAGTGAGGAAATGGTCAATGTTTCCCCTCTTCCTATTCCTCAGTACTGTTCCATGATCTTAATTATCTTCCTGGCTGTCTAGCCACTACTCAAGTCAACTATGAGAAGTCCTGTAACTAAACCCTCTGTTGTTGTTGTTGTGAAGTGCTGTCGAGTAGGTTCCAACCCATAGCAACCTTGTATAGAGTTTCAAAGGAAACGCTGGTAAGCTTGAACCACCAACCTTGCAGTTCAAACGGCTTTGCAGTCTGGTGCATTAACCCACAGTGCCACACCAGGACTCCTGACTAAACCCTCTAGCACCTCCTATTAGTTTTCTGTTTGATATTCTCAGTATCCACCCTGCTCTTCCTATATGTCTCAAGTATACTTGGTTCCTCACCCACACAGAAGTGTAGCAACTCACAGTTTGAAGGGACTCTCTGATGATAAGCCTGTTCATTCCCCCACAAAGGTACCAGAATTTCCTCTGAAAATGCCCTATCAACGTCCTTCCTTCCAAGGCAGCTCATTAGGCATCTCTAAACATTATAGGAGCCCCCATGTGGTGCTGGAGGATAAGCACGGGACCGGTAACTGAAAGGTCCACAGTTCGTTCAAACCCACCAATCGCTCTTGGAAACCCTCTAGTGTTGCTATGAGTGGGAACCAACTTGATGGCACACAACAACAGACATTATAGAGTTCTTTCTTTCCCAGGCTGAATTGAAATATTCTTCCTGATGTCACTGTTTTACTTTTTAAGGCCATTAGGGCTCAAGTCTCATCTTCCACATGATGATTCTTTAAACAGGTGAAATAAGTATCCGTGTCTCTATTGAATCCTCTCCAGGCTGGTCAGACCTATCTCACTGAACCATTCCTCAGACGACATGGTTTGAGTCACTCCTTCCTTTTGCTTCCACTGGGCCTAGCATACTCTTTCTGTTACTGTCCTTAGCACAGTCTGTGGCAGAGTTTGCAAGGTGTGAGATCATTTAAGTATTTATAATTGATTTATACAATATTTTACAGAAAAATATGAACTAGTAAGGAATTACATTTAAACACATAATTTTCTGGTTCCTCGTGAAAATTAAGAAAACCTGATAACCCTGGATCTGTATTCTCACATTGTAACAATCAGCCTACTGGAGTAATTGCTCCTTTTAGGCCCCCTTCTCCAATTTACCACAGGGCCCCTAGACACTATATTGACACTGTTCTAAAGCATTCTGATGTTGGTTATGTCTTTCTCTTAAAGGGTAGTGACTGTAACTCAGATTATCTATGTAGTACCAGGCATGCAGCATTCTGCACATTACAGGACTCAAACAAAATATTCCTAGTCCCTGTCCTCAGAACAAACTCCAATTCTGTGTCCTCCTTAGAAGTGTTCATGCAGCATGAACACAATCCTCTGTAAGTCTGACAAAAAAAGTCACTCTGTACACCCCTTCAGTGACTCAACATTTTTTCAACTTGATCACAGACTGACAACCCAGATCCCCTATTTTCAGTCTTGTAGTTTTGTTCTGCTCTGGACTCTTCCTTAACTTGAATTCTGATTGATGAAAATGTTTTCTCTTCCTTGATCCAGCCTCCAACTCTTTCCCTCCTCTGTAACACTTCCTTTATTGTTTGGAACTCCTACTTTATAATCAGCAATTCACCTATACCCTCAAGCTCCTCACTGAGCATCCTTTCCACAACTTGTCTTATCCATGATCCTCTAGTGAAGGCTGCTGGTTTTCTCACATCCCACACAGGAATGCCTGTGTCCCACACTGCAGCTTTCGGATCACTACTCCAGCCACCTACAAACTCCCTTCTTTTGAGACTGGTGTCCACAGTCTAGGTTACCCTTTCTCCCTCCTAATCACTGTCACTCCCTTACTCACTGAATACTTGGGCACTGACTTCCACTAGTTTTCCTCTCCGTTCCATTTGCTATCATCTTAAGTCACCCTGACCCTGGTGACTTCAAAGTCCACATGGGTACCCAGTTTATCATCTAATCTCTAAAAACCGTCTCATCTATAATACTTCAGTTCCTCCGTCCTGCTACAACTACAGCCTAGACTGTCACTGCCTGAAAGTATCACCCAACTCTAAAATGTTAAAATGATACATCCAAGGCTCTGACCACAATAGACTATCCTGTTTGCTCCGTGACTCAAGACATCCCTCTTTCTCTACCTCTTCAGTAGCTCGAGCAGTATATGGTACCTCCTCATTCTCACTATCTACCAGACCCCTCTAATCTTCATTTTCCTTTTTAATTTCCAGCTTCAATTCCTCAATTCATCATTTCAGTCATTCTCTTGCCAATCATCTAAATTCCTGCCAGATTTGGGCTGCTGAGTGCTACTGGAGAAAAATTACACAACAGGTGTTATGGATTGAATTGCTTTCCCGAAAATTATGCCTGTGGTTATAATTTCATTTGGGAATAGGTGTTCTTTATTGTGTTAACGAGATAGGATTAGTAAAGGATGTGTGTCGAGTCCATCTCTTTTAAGACACAGAGATTAAACAAGCAAATGAGAGACATAGAGACTGGTAGATGAGAGATGCCAGGCCATATGAAGATTGCTCAGGAGCAGACGTTCAAGGAGACAAAGACCTTCATCTAGAGCCAAGAGAGAAAGTCATCCTCCCTTAAAACCACTACCCTAAATTTAGACTTGTAGTTGCTGAAACTGTACAAAAATAAGTTTGTTAAAGTCACTAGTTTGTGGTATTTCTCTTATAGCAACAGTACTAGATACTACTCCACCATCCACCTATACACTCCCTTCTTATTTGAGACTTCTTTGGGTACTGTAAGAGTGGGGTACTCCTCTGATACCTAAAATGTAGAAGAGGTTTTAGAATTGGGTAACAGGTGGTGGTGGTAGTAGTAGTGTGCCGTTGAGTTGGTTCCGACTCATAGCGACCCTGTATAGGGTTTCCGAGGCTGTAAATCTTTATGGGAACAGAAAGCCTCATCTTTCTCCCATGGAACAGCTGGTAGTTTCGAACTGTTGACCTTCGGGGTCGCAACCCTATTCATAACCACTACGCTACCAGAGCTCCTTTGGGTAATGGGTAGAGGCTGGAAGTGTTTTGAGGTAACTTCTGTGGTTCAAACCCACCAGTTGCTCCTCAGAAACCCTATTCAGGGTCGCTATGAGTCAGAACTGACTCAATGGCACTTGACAACAACAACAATAGCAAAAGTCTAGATTGCTTGAAGAGACTATGGATAGAATTATGGACATAAAAGGCAATTCTGATGAGGGCTCACCAAAAGAACGTTTCATTAAAGTCATAGCAGTAGACACTGTATCTTGTTTAGTGAACAAGGAAAGCAACATACAAGTTATATAATAATTCTGCAGTCTTATAGCAAGTGAATGTTGTAGTTAAATGCTGTGGAGTCAGTTCCCACTCACAGCGAAGCTGTATCGAGTTTCTGAGGAGCAACTGGTGGGTTTGAACCGCTGACCTTGTGGTTAGCAGTCCAGTGCTAATCCTATAGCACCACAACAGGACTCCATAGAAAGTAAATAGGAGAACTAGAATTTGAGCACAGTCCTATGTTATTCTTCAAGATCACCAGATGCTCCTCGGAAACCCTATACAGGGTCGCGATGGGTCAGAACTGACTCAACGGCACTTCACAACAACAACCTCAACACAGGTTGCTATTACAAGTGCTCACAAGTCCACTGATCCAATTACCTACTCTCCCCTATTCTTTCTGAGTTGCTCATTCCAAATCCCTATTGCTCCAGTTCTACTCTTCCAAGTCTCACAGCTTTTCTCATGCTCCGTAGCCCCCCTACCCACTGAAACCAAGGACTGACCCAGTGAACGGAGGTTAAGCTCCTCTGTGATTTTGGCCTCCCTAAGCAGTTCCTCTTGAGTCAGCGGTCGCTCATAGTGGGGTCCCTTTCGCCGCCGTGACTGGCCCTGCCTTTCCTGTACCCGAAGAAATGTTTGTCGTGTATGCTCAGCTGTAGACTGACGCATGGACTTCCGACCTGAGAAGAGAATTAGAAAGGAAAAAAATCTTTGTAATCATGATTGCCCCCTTTACTCTTTTTTTTTTTTAATTATACTTTTTATTTGGAAATAATTTCAAACTTATAAAAAAAGTTGCAATAGTAAAAAAACACTCATGTGCCCTTTATTCAGATCACCTACTACAAACATTCTGCCCATTTGCTTTCTGTGTGTATATGTATTTATTTTTTTCTGAACCATTTTAAGTTGTATACATCATAGCCCTTTCCCTCTAAACACTTTAGTGTGTATTTCCTAAGAATAAAGATATTCTTTATATTAACTATAACATAGCTGTCAATCTCAGGAAATTTCACACTGATATATTATCTTAAATCTGTCATCCATATCCCAATTTTGTCAACCTACCCGTTAATGCCCTTTATATCATGTTTACTGCCTCCAGCAAGGATCCAGTGTAGGATGCAGAATTACATTTATTTATCACATCTCTTTAGTTTTCTCTAATCTGAAACTATTTCTAAGCCTTTGTCTTTTTTTACCCCACTCGCCCAGGTTAACACATCTTTTCTATGTTAGGTCTTTGTCTTTTATGACACATAACCATCTCCTCTAAAGGAAGCCCTCTTATACTTACAATTTATTCACTTTCTTCATAATTAGTCAAGAGGCTTTCCCCTTGATAAATACTATACTAATTGCTTGAGTAATCATAGTAATGTAAGGGAACAGATCAACCGATCTTTCAAATGTATTTTTTATTAGCTTGAAAATACTTAAGTTCTGTCCTCAATGATAAAAGATTTATCCTTCTGTGTTTTGCAATGACCTAATATTAAAAATAATTAGTAACCTCCTAATTTGAGAGGAGCATTCCAAAAATAAGCTAAATGGTAAAATTGAGAATTGGTTGCTTTGTTCTTTTATGTGTCTCTATGTGTGGCACTGTGGGTTAATGTGCTGGAATACAAAGTCTGTTTGAACTGCAAAGTCAACAGTTCAAGTTCACCAGACACTCGTCAGAAACCCTATACAACAGGCTCTATATGGGTTGGAAGTGACTTGACAGTGCTTAATAACAACAACATGGCCTACATGTAACTTCATTTTCTGCCACATAAAGTGAGCTATAAACCCTTTAAAAATTTTTTTTCATACTGATATTGTTGCTAAGTGCGTTGAGTTGGTTCCAACCCATAACGACCCTGTACAGGATTTCCTAGGAGCAGCTCATGAGCTTGAACCGCCAACCACGCAATCCAAACTGGCTCTGCAGACCAGCGCTTTAACCCACAGTGCAATAATCTCTTAATATAAGGCTTTGTATTCTATGGGCACTCAGGCAATTCTACGCTTATAGTACTCATCGTTATCTGATACTGAGTCCGCCTATCACCTGTCCTCTAGTCCTAGAAATAAATACATAGGATTATGCTTCCCAAAGGAGCTCTGGTAATGCAGTGGTTATGAGTTGGGCTGCTAATCTCAAGGTCAGCAGTTCGAAACTACCAGCTGTATAGCAGAAAGACGAGGCTTTCTGCTTCCACAAAGATTTATAGCCTCAGAAACCCTATACATAGTTGCTGTGAGTCGGAACTGACTCCATGGCACACAACCACCACCACCACACTTCCCAAAATCAGTCTGTGGGAAAACCACTCAGCCCACCCCCTAAAAAAATCCCTACTCACTGTCAGAACCATCATCCTGTAGTTCTAGTGGCAGCAATGCTTTCTCTTCTCGGGTCTTCTGAGAGCTACCAGCTGGGGTGCTGACCTTTCGAGGTCTCAGACTCTTGAGAGGCTCCTGGAGACAGATGGGGGATCAGAGACAGGGAACAGAAGAAACAGGGAGAAAGAGGCCTAGAATCTTCAGAAAACTAACACTGTAGCAAATGGGACTGGCGTGGGGAGTACTGGTTACTGATGAAGGGAGAATGGAAACTAAAGCAGCCCAAGAAAAGCAGGAATGCCTGTGTACCTTATAGGCCTTGGTGACTATTCGGCGTTTCCTTCTTGGCTCTTCTGTTTCTCCATCACTGGATGGTTCATCCCCTTCATCGATATCAAAGTCAGAGTCTACCTCATCCTCTGTGTCTGACTGGTCCCCTTGATACTCATCATCTCCTGATTCCTGATGGCAAAAGGAAAGGAGGAAGAACAACAAGGTAGCTATAAGCTATCACATAACATGGATGAACCTTGAGAACATTGTGTTGAGTGAAATTAGTCAGTCACAAAAGGTGAAATACTGCATAGGACCACTACTGTAAAAGACTAAGAAAAAGAACCCATACTAAAAGGGGTGGAGGAGAAAAAAAAATTCTTTGCTGGTTACTGGGAAGTGGGGGCTGGGGTGAAGGGAGGGAGGGGAAGGTGGAGCAGGAAGGGTAGGGAATAGCCACAGGATAGTTTGGGTGCTGGGAAGGGGGGCAATACACAAGAAGGGGAAGGGGAATGGAAGAACAAGGCGGATGGGAGAACAGTTAAGCAGGTTTGCATGAGCTAAGTGGGACAGAGTAAAGAATGATGTATGCACAACCTTGGAACAACAGGACTCTGGGATACAGGGATTGAGGCATGGTTTGAATGGGCGAAAGGGGGGAACTAATGTTAAGATGCTTGGCTGTCTTTTGAATCTTGGTTTCCCTTGCATGCCATCATAAAATAGACACCTGAGGGGTAGAGAAAGGAATAGCCAGAAATATCACCATAGACAGCTTATAAATCTGTCTTCTGCCTATAACTGATTGGAATACCTAAAATAGGGCTACAATGTACCCAGTGAAAGAGGCTTCCTGAAGAGCCGCTGCATTGCATAAGACCATAGCTGGAATCCTGACCCCCATCCAGAATCTTCTGAAGTGGGAAATCTCCACTTGAAAGGACAAGCAGACCAGCCTGGAGCGGCTAGAAGGCCAGAAGATACTTCTTGAAAGAAAGACTGACAGGAAAAATCAAAAACAATTAACAGCAGTCCAACTGACTACTATAAGAACAAGCAAGTTGCTTGCCCAGGAGACACCAAGGCAAGTGGTCGGGTCCCCTCAGGGCAAACCCCCTTCCAAGACTAAGACTCAAGGGGAATACACGAGCAGGCATGCCGTCTGACTGGTAACCACATGGGTCACCGATAAGGGGAAGTGAGGAAAAAACAGCAATGAAGCTGCGAGCTAAGTCCTACTGTGTTCAATAGACTCCTGTGAACCTAGGTGGAGATCTAGTTGGTCAGCAGTATGACAAGACCTGGGGATTCCTTGGCCCAGAGTCAGTGACATAGCCACAAAGGACTAGAGTGAAGAGTGAAGTGTCCAGCTGAGAAGAAATGAGGGCATACGCACAAGAACAACCACATTTGCAGATAATTCCCACTTGACCTGGCTTCAATGGCTGGATGATCAGAACTCAACTAGAAGAAGAAAGAAGAGGGGAAAAAAAAGAGTAATCTGATACAGTTTGATGAACTTGACCTATACCTATGGATGCAGTAGCTCAAAAGAGGGAACAAATCTTTACAGCGAGGATCATTCCTGCCCCCTCAGTACATAGGGTAGACAGGAATGGGCAACTTGGACATTGGCTACCCAAGATGGGGGGACTACAAAGGTAAGAAGTGACTGGCTTACAAGCTTTCAAGAGGGAGCCTAGACCCAGAGGGCGTGGAGGAAGGTAGAATCTCCACTGAGTGGAATCCAATCTGTCTGAGTGGGGCTGATGAAAGGAGATGCGGATAGGACTTTGTGGTACAATAGTGTGTAACTGCTATCAGGACTGTGAGGATTGGAAATGTAAAGGCAGACGTTTTGTAGCAAAAGGAGGGGAGGGGAGTGGTTGACTTTGCAGTCTAGGAGCGGGACCATCAAGGGAGAAGAGCGGAGTGTGGGACCCTACTCAGAGAAACAGTGATGCCAGAGATGGAGGCAGAGACGATGATGTGAAGAGATGGAGTGGCTGGGGACTCAAGACCCCAGAGAGGGAGAGGCGCTGTGTGCTGATGACAGAGAGGCAGGCTTGCGGGATATACCCTTTGGTTGTTTGATAATGCATGGAGGGGATTGTAACCATGGCAATGAAATGATATATGATAGGATGAATGTAAAGCCAATGTTCTCCCATGTAAACAATCACATAATTCACAATAAAACATTTATTTTTTAAAAAAGAAAAGAACAAAGTGACTGTGGACAATCTTAAGATTTACAGTGCTCAACTCCCCAGGTGAATTTTGTGAAGTTTGAAAATCACTCTTTAAGAGCAATGGTCTTCAAAACTTTTTTGGTCATATATCTACTCGGATATTTTTTAAGCAATTATGTATCCCTTTGTGATTTTTTAGTTGACATTCAAAATTTCTCATTTGTTTAAATAGATTAAAAGATTCAAATTTCTGGTATATTGTAATATTAATAATGTTTGCATGAAATTGTTAGATTACTCTTTTTAATGACTTCAAGAAAAGTTTCATGGCAAAAAAAAAAAAAAGGAAAGGAGGGCTGGCAGGCACTGGTAGATACCAATGACCTTCCAGGAGGAATAAAATCTCTTTGTTTTTCTGCTAAGAGTTGCCCCACATTAGTTCCCAAGGCAGTTGTTCATCTTTCTTAGAAAAAAAACATTCCTTGTTGACGGCATTTGGCTCCAGCACCAGCCCTTTCCAATATTCACTGACTGTCCTTTACCTACAGCAGGCTGTGTTAAGTGCTAGAGAACAAAAGGATATGGTTTAGTCTCTACTTTCTATGAGCTCACAGTCTACTGGAGGACAGGACATAATCATAAAAAGAAAAAGTTTTAATACAAGATAACACATACAGTACCAAATGACAATAAAATGTTACACTTTCTATTAAGTGGTATGGGAAGGTCTAAACCTTAGTCCAGGTGTCAGGGACAAATAGAAACTAGCGGTGGGAAGGATTTGATCTATAGGCCATGGTTTTGTTGAACTCTGCATTAGGCACTAAAGGATGAAGAGAGCTTGAGCTATGTTTAAAGTAATGGTAGTACACTTACAACTCATTTATCAATTACCTTGTTATCTGACATTTCATATTTATGATAGTCAAAAAAATCTATATGAATATCTTGCACATTTACTAAGTACATCTGGCAGTAACAAATGCCACGGTGCAAGACAAGAGGAACACTGGCTGTGATAGTTAAGGTTATCTGTCAACTGATAAGAGCTATGATTCAGTGATTTACCAGTTATGTAATGATGTAATGTGGCAGTTATGTAATGATACACTCATCCTCCATTTTCATGTAATGCAAATTTTCATGTAACACCTGGCCTTTGGAACCTAACCATGTTGGTAAGTGAGGAGTAGGTATAGTTATTTAAGACAGTCAAGAGAGAAGAGCAAATAGGGGAACAAAAGTACAGAAGCTGGAATGTGTAAAGCAAATTTATGGAATGCATTATGGAATAAGGATTTAAACCAAGTAAAGCAGAAGATTTGTTGCTGGTAAGTAGACTTCCTAGCTGAAGGCCTTTGGATCCAACACAATCAGTCTCATAACATTAATTGTCCTTCAGGTCTATCAAATTTGAAAAGAAGGTTGTTTTAGTAAATGTCAGGATAATAAAGTTATGATTTGAACCTGCAGGCTAGTGATTATCAATCCTCTCCCTCCTCTTACTTATCCTAGAACTGATAATTACTGTTGAAGTAAACTAAAGGCACTGTGAGAAATGTTTCATTCTTCAGGTATGTTGGGAGAACCAGTTGGGTACTATTACAGGTAATGGGGAAGCGTGGAAATGGGAAATATTTGGGGGAGGTGAAAACAGTGTTTACAAAGGGGTATTTGAGAAAGCTCTGAGGATGGTTATATGGACTTAAACACAGAGCTTGGAGTACAGCCTTAACCTGAAGGTGATGCAGGTTAGGGCTAGAATAGAATGACAACCAACATGGAAAGGAAAGGGATAAAGAGCACTTGAATTGGGTGGCACTTCAAACATGTGGCTCTCTCTTCAATCAGTAATACAGACCAACAGACTAATCTTGGTACATATGCTACCAAAGCAAGCAAACAATACTGACGGGTGACACTCCAAGCCAGCCAGAGTTCAATCTCGCACTGATGACCATCATTTCTTCTCAAGTGACATTGTGAAAGACAGCCTGGGAACACACTAATCTCCTCAGCTCTAACTGGTATTAAGTCAGATCACGAGAGGATAGTAGTTCAACTACACATTAGCTTAGTGCTAAACTGAAATGCTTTCACTAAATCATGGGTTTACTATCATTCCTTTGGCTTTTACTGAAGATCATTAATAGACATGACTAGATAAGAGAATCTACAAAACCACTATCATTGATATTTTTTAAATGATAAATTCTTTCTTGGATTTAATACTGAATAAACTTGTCTCTTTTGAAGTACTTACACACGCTTTTTATTTTTTTAAAAAAATTCTGGGATTAGATATCAGGAAGCTCACAGTTAAATTTAATATCAATTGTTAGGACCATTTCAGCATAGACTCCTAGCATAATTATCTGATCGGTCTCTATTTTTACTGTTCCTACTTTTTGTTTATATCATAAGCCTTCTTAAATCCTTTTTGGAAGCATCAAGAGTACATATTAATAACTACTCATAAAATGACAGGAATAGGAAAATGAGAGGGGAATTAGCATTGAAGGAGGGATGAGAAAGTTCTATTTTAAACTACTTAGGTAGGGCTAAGTAATGACTCCTAATTAGTCACTAAGTTCAGTGGATTCTATTTATTTTGTTTCTCTTGAACCCCCCTATTCATATTTCCCTTCCCACTGCCACAACTTCAGTTCAGGCCACCATCATCTCTTGCCTCAAGTTTTGCTGCTGACTAATCCAGTTTCCTAGTTTCTAGTCTTGTTCCTTCAAACTATTCTCCTCATTACAGAGTTTTATGTCGAAAGTACATGTGGAACTTGGACAAATCTTCTCAGTTCAAAGTGCCAAACACCTTAATGTGGTATTCAGCCCTTTATATAATCTGGTCCACGCCTATTTATTCCAGCCTTACGAATTTTTATCTCTCTTCATTCTCTGGAAAACGAGGGTAAGTGTACAGGTCTCAAATCAAACTTGGACCTCAATTCTTTTACACAGTCCATCCCACCCTTTCCAGTGTACTGACTGCTCCCATCCCCAGCCAGTCAAAGTCTATTTTCCATACTGTTTTACGCTTAAACATCATCCCTTCTTGGGTGCCTATCCCATTACAACTCTGGCTCCTATGGGTTACTATAGAACTCTATGTTTATCTCTTTATTTTCATGCTTATCAAACGATTTTAACTTCCCGTTGTTAACCCACTAGGATACGGAAAATAGACGGGCAGAGTGATGTTTTTAATACTGTTTCCTTAGAATCTATCACAGTGCTTGGCATGATCTGGGTTCCCAACGCTATTTAATGAATGAAATTCATTCATCAATAGAAATCTAACGAGCAACATTAGACTAGGCATGGGATGGAACATATACTGTTGAGCAAAACACATTCTCTAAAGTTATAGAGCTTACAAACTAATAAAACATAAGCAAACAAAATCTTTGCTTGTTACAAATCGAGGTATTTTCTATGAAGGCAAGAAATGGGGGCACTAGTTAAGGAATAGTTATCTAAGGAGACATTGAGACTTGAAAGCTGAAAAAGGAATGGGCTAAACCCTCCTAATTTTTGGAGAGAACATTTTCTATACCTCAGGTAAACAATCAGGCAGTTTGCCAATTAGTATATTTCTTGCGTGTGCTAGACTTCTGAATTCTGGTGAGATACAGTGAGAAATACACAGCAGATTTCTGCCATTCTCTGGGGTCTCCCTTTAAAGAGGCTCTCTCCATTCCTGGCCCCTTGAGCACTGTCCAGGGCTCTCTTTCACAGGACTTCACACTATATTCCTCAGACTTTGCCACCCGGTCTCGAGTATCAACGTCCAGGACTCACTCCTCTCTATCCCCGCCCCCTTCTTCTTTGTCAGGACTCCTCTTCCTCCCCTCCCTCTTCCTGGGCCCAGCTCTTGCCTCTGTGAAACCCCCATAAGTCGTCTGGTAGAACTCATCTTCCTCCTCGGCTTCCAGGAGCCCAGAAAGCCGGTTCCCGGCGGTCTTCCGGGGGGCTCGGCCCACAGCCAAACTCATGCCGTCCACCGAAACTGCGCTGCCGCCAGGGGCCTCTCAGCCAGCTCGATTCTCAGCGCTCGGCACTCAACACCACTACCTGCGGGTGGCCGACGAGACGGAAGCGGGGCGTTTGCAGGCAGAAGCAGCAGAGCTTCGAGGGCCTCAAGACTGCCGTATTCTTCAGCTCCTCCCACTACTGCTCTGAGTCTTCACGCCCCTTGCCCTCTCTCACTGACCCAGGCTATGACAGGATTCTATTAAGTGACACTGGGCACTCTAGTACTTTGGTGGTGGTGGTAGTGTGCCGTGGAGTCCGTTTCGACTCATAGCGACCTTGTATAGGGTTTCCGAGGCTGTAAATCTTTACGGGAGCAGAAAACCTCGTCTTTCTCCCGCTGAACGGATGGTAGTTTGGAACTGCTGACTTTGATATTAGCAGCCCGTCTCGTAACCACTTCGCAGAATTTGCGAGTCAATCAGTTTTCTTTTAGAAGAGGTAGGTCTACCCCTGCTCCAATCCGTTTTCCACTCTGCTGCTAGTAGGAACGTTTCTAAAACCCTATAGTTGACTTTATCATTCCTCTGCACAAAACTTTTAATGGTTCCCCCCATCTTCTACAGGAGCTCTAGTAGCGTAAAGGTTATGAGTCGGGCTGCTAACCTTAAGGTCAGCAGTTCGAAACTATCAGCTGTCCCGCGGGAGAAAGATGAGGTTTTATGCTCGCGTAAAGATTTACAGCCTCTGAAACCCAATTCAAGGTCACTGTGAGTAGGAACTGACTCCACAGCACATAACCACCATCGCCACCCATCTTCTACAGGATTAAGTTTCCTCAAGGCATTGTGTTTAAAAGCACAGCTTTAGAGCCCACAGATCTAATATCGAATGTGAGCTTTATAGTGGAGTTAATACTAATACTTCGGTGTGGCGCTGTAGGATCAGCACTGGACTGTGAACCATAAGGCTGGTAGTTCAAACCCACCAACTGCTCCTCGGAAACCCTATGAGTCGGAACCAGCTGTATGGCACTTAACAATAACAATATAACATAAACTTTTAAGGCTGTTCTAAAGATTACAAAATATAATTCTTGTTGATTGCTCAGCACAGTTTTAGTGGTTAAATGGTAGCTGTTTAGGAGGTAATGTTGTTGACTGCGTTGAGTTGGTCTGACTCATAGCGACCCTGTATAGGGTTTACAACGAGCAGCTGGTGGGTTTGCACCGCTGACCTTGCAGTTCAAACTGACCTTGTGATCCAGCGTATTACATATTATTAATATGGCCTCCAAGATCCTTCATAATTTACCCTTCTCCTTGCCTTTTTTTTTTTTTAATAAATGTTTTATTGTGAATTGTGTGATAGTCTACATGGGAGAACATTAGTTTTACATTAATTCTATCATCTATCATTTCATTGGCATAGTTACCATCCCGTCCATGCATCCTCACCCAACCAAAGGGTGTACCCTGTAAGCCTGCACCGCCCCCCCCCACCACAGTCCTCAGCCCCTTTCCATCTCTTGATCCCAAGTCCCCAGCCACACCATCTCTTGACATCGTCTTCTCTGCCTCCATCTCAGGCCTCACCGCTTCTCTGGGTAGGATCCCGCTCTCCGCTTTTCTCCATTGATGGTCCTGGGACTGAAAAGTTAATCACTCCCCTCCTTGCTACAAAATGTCCACCTTTAGATTTCCAACCCTCACAATCAGTCCTGATAACAATTATTCACTATTGCATCACAAGAGACCCATCTGTATTTTGTTTCATCAGCCCTTCCTGGACAGGCTGGATACTATTCACTGGAGACTCTACCTTCCTCCACGCCCTTTGGATCTAGGTTCCCTCTTGAAAGCTTGTAAGCCAGTCACTTTTTACCTTTGTATCCCTCCCCCCATTTTGGGTAGCCAATGTCCAAGTTGCCCATCCCTGTCTACCCTTTGTGTGGACGGGGTGGGAATAGTTCTTGCAGCAGGGATTTGTTTCCTCTTTTGAGCTACTGCATTTATAGGTGTAGATCATGTTTATCGAATTGTATCAGATGACGCTTTTTTCCTCTTCTTTCTTCTTCAGGTTGAGCTCTGTTTATCTAGTCATTGAAGCCAGGTCAAATGGGTATCATCTGAAAGTGTGGGTGTTCTTGCATTTGTCTGCCCTCTTTTTATCGGCTGGCTGCCCCGCTTTCCACTCTAGTCCTCTGTGGCTGTGTCATTGACTCTGAGCCCATGAGTCCCCCAGGTGTTGCCTTGCTACTGGCCAACCAGGTCTCCACCCGGGTTCACAGTAGTTTGCTGAACGGTGTAGGGCTTAGCTCGCCACTTCATTGATATTCTTCGGTCACTTTTCCTTCTGGGTGACATGCGTGGTTGTCAATCAAACCGTATATTTTCCTTGCATCTTAGTCTTGAAAGAAAGAATTTGCACTGAGAGGACTCGACCACTTGCCTTGATGTCTTCTGGACAAGCAACCTGTATGTTCTTGTGGTAACAGTCTGATTGCCCTTATTGTTTTGTATTTTTCCTGTAGGTACTTCTTTCAAGAAGTATCTTCTGGTTTTCTTGCTGCTTCCGGCTGGTCTGCTTGTCCTTTCAAGTGGAAAATTTCCCTGTCTCTGAAGGTCTGGATGTGGTTCGTCTCGTCTCCTTGCCTTTTTAAGGACCCCTGGTGGTGCTCTAGGAAAGTACTAGACTGCTAACCGTAAGGTCGCATTTAAACCCACTTGTCATTGATGTGGGTTCCTAGTGTGGACTAAGCACACAACTATAGTGTTGATTTGAATCACAAGGTTGGCCGTTCAAATCCACCAGCCACTCCTTGGAAACCTTATAACAGGGTCGCTATGAGTTGGAACTGACTCAAAGGCACTTAACAATAATAAACAGTCACTGGTGTCGTGCTATAGGATAAACACTGGACCGCAAAGTCCCCCAGTTCAAACCCACCAGCCACGCCTTGGAAACCCTATACAGGGTTACTGTGAGTTGGACCCACAGTCCTGGTGTGGCACTGTGGGATAAAGCACTGGACAGCAAAGTTGCTTTGAACCACAAGGTTGGTGGTTTAAACTCACCAGCCACTCCTTGGAAACCCTATACAGGAGTGCAATGAGTTGGAACCAACTCTACAGCACTTAATAACAACAATGAGTCAGAACCAAGTCGATGGCATTTAACAACAACAACAGTCACTCTGAGACATCACCACCTACTTGTATATCCTATTCCAGCATCACTCCCCTGAACCTAATTCTTTGTTATGACTCCATGGTTTTTCTTCTCCTTAGAATCCCTGTTCTTCTTGTCCTGTTGGCCAAATTCTCATTCTATAGGACAGTAGTCTCTCATATTCATTCTTCTCTTTCCAGGTACAGTTCCCATAACTATGTGGAGCATGCTTCTGGAATAGTTCCAGTTTAAAATCATCTGTGACGTTTTTAGGATTCTGTGTCAACTTCTGTTCTCATTTTTTAATTCTGAAAATATGGTTAATAAACTATAACACTTGTTCATAATCTGTGATGAGACCTTTTATTATAATGATTTATGTGTCTGTCTCCCTTGCTGGTTTATTATCTTTTTGAGGTCAGGGAGTTGATCTTCATCTATTATACCCGGAACTCTTATGGTGCCTGGGGTAGTTGTGGCTAAATAATGTACATTAAATGGCTGAGTTAACGAATGACAAATTGAGTGAATAAGTACCTATCCTCTTATCCTTACTTTTATGTTGCTTTTGCCAGCCACTTGAATTTTTATTTTGGCCACTCCATTCTGACCTTAGCAATTGTTTTAAGATATCAAGGACGCTTTCCTAAAGTTGGATGTGTGTGTCTTTCAGTCTCTATTTTATGGTTACCAGATTGCCCCCTTTCTGAAATAATATATTGGTGAACTCCCTTTTTCACTTCCTTGGGGGCACCAAACCAACTTGTCCTGCCCTGCCCCAGCTTCCACACCCTGACAAGTCACCCCAGTTCTGTTATGCCAGGAATGTTGATGGGGGAGGCTGGCTCGTGACTCACAAGGCACTTTAGGGATGAAGTTGGAGTAGGAACAGAGACAAGGTTGGGGTTGGGGGAGGATAGGCAATGTCTGCTTTTTAAATACCCCTAGTTCTACTTGTATTTTGCTTTCATCCATTCGAATGTTCATAATGGTGTGTGTTCGGCACCTACTTAGTTTCAGACACTGTTCTAGATGCTCGAGCTATAAAAATGGTTAAGATGTCTTCTTTGTGCTGAAGTGTTTAGTCTTATAAAGGGGAAAAAATAATATGCAGACTAACATAATACAGCGTGGTGGATATGTAATAGTAACCATTTTCTGGACTCCTGATATGACTCTGTAGGATCAGCACTGGACTTCAAATTGTAAGTTCAGCAGTTCAAACACATCAGCTGCTCCTCAGAAACCCTATACAGGGTCTCTATGTTTCTGAACTGAATCGATAGCATGTAACAACAACAAAGGAGAAACTAAGACCTCCTAAGAAGCTACAAAACAGGAATCTCTTATTTCAGGAGTGCTGAATTAATTTACCCCTTCATTCAAGTGACAAATGAAATCCCTTGTTTAACCTACTGCCTGTGTAAGTCAGGGTTTATTGGATCTATTAGAAACACCAGCTGACATCTGTAACTCAGGAAATGGTAGCAACTCTGTGCTTTTTATGGAAGCAAAGATAATTTAGTTAAATATTTATTGAACACCTACTAGGAGCCACGGCATCCTGGTGTGCCACTGTAGGATACGTGCTGGACTGCTAACCACAAGGTTGGCTGTTCAAACCTACCTGTTGCTACTTCAAAACTTTATAAAGGGACGTTATGAGTCAAAACCTACTCGATGGCACTTAACAACAATACTGTGTGCCATATCCCATATGAGGCAGTGTGCCCCCACATAGACCCTTTACAGTGTAGTTGGGTGGGGGAGTATAGGTATAGGCATCAAATACTTCAATCCTACACAGTTGTACTACTGTGAGATTACAAACTGCAATGCAATTATTTGAAGTTTGTCTACTTTTATTGCCCAAAAGAGGACGAGGAATCCAGTAGGTGGCAGTAGGTGGCAGCAGGGAAACAATAATTTGAATGTTGGTGGAGGAGGGGTTTTTGTTGTTGTTAAGTGCTGTCAAGTCAATTCTGACAGGGTTTTCGAGGAGCAGCTGGTGAGCTTGAACTGCCAACCTTGCAGTTCAAATGGCTTTGCAGTCTGGCATATTAACCCACAGAGCCACACCAGGACTCCGGAAGAGGGGTAGAAAGGGTTATTCTATGGAAGTTGAGGTCCTAGATTCCCTTTCAATATCCCAGAAGACATATGGATAGAATAACTAGGCCATCCTTTTTTTTTTTTAACTTTTTATTGTGAATTAAGTGAAGCTCTACTGAACAGATCACTAGTTTTACATTCAACAAATTACACACTTCGTTCCCTCTCAATAATTGCAATCTCCTCAATAGGACATCCCCTATCCCATTGCCTGGAGTACAGATGTGGCACTGTGGGTTAATGTGCCAGACTGCAAAGCTGTTTGAATGCAGGTTTGGCAGTTCAAGCTTACCAGCTGCTCCTCGGAAACCCTAAAGAGGGTTGCTATTGGTCGGAACCAACTTGATAGCACTTCATAACAACAAATCCCACTGCCTCCTTGTGTTGCTCATTCCTATTTTTATCCCAACCCCTCTGAATTTTATCCTTAGTAAATGCTGCCCTTTTGATCTTAAATGGTTGGTCATTCTATGATGTGTGTACCTCAGTATTATTGTTGTCCCCCTTATATACCTATCTATTATTTCACTGAAAATTGAGCCATGGGAAACCAGGCCATCATAAGGGTTAGAAAACCTAAGTTTATTTTTCTTTTCATTCTTCCTCATTTATTCATTCCAAAAGTAATTATTGAGACTCTACAAGGTACACCATGTTACTGATGAAAATCAAAGACTATGGTCTTCAAGGTGCATTACACTCAACATAAAACAAAGCTCCTCACAACTGGACCAATAAATCGTGTCCTGATAAGCAGAGAAAACATTGAAGTTGTCAGAGATTAAATTTTATTTGGAGCCACATCAACACTCAGGGAAATAGCAGTCAAGAAATCAAAAGATGTTTTGCATTGGGTAAATCTGTTGTGAAAGACTTCTTTAAAGTGTTAAAAAGCAAGTGTCACCTTGAAGATTAAATTGTGGCTACCAAACCATGTTATTTTTAGTTGCTTCATATGCATGCAAAAGCTGGACAACAAATAAGGAAGACGAAGAAGATGTGATGCCTTTGCATATGGTGTTGATGAAGAATATTGAATATACTATACGCTGCCAGAAAAATGAACAAATCTGTCTTGGAAGAAGTATAGTGCACCTTAAAAGTGAGGATGGTGAGTCTTTGTTTCATTACTTTGGACATGTTATCAGTAGGAATCAGTCCCTGGAGAAAGACATAGTGCTTAATAAAGTAGAGGGTGAACAAAAGAGTAAGACCCTTAATGAGCAAGATTGCTACAGTGGCTCAAACATAGCAACTGTTTGAGGGAATGGGGAAGGACCGTGTAGTGTTTTGTTTTGTTGTACGTATGGTTGGAGTGAGTCAGAACGGACTGGATGGCACCTAACAACAACGACAACTTACACAATCACAGTGAGAATCATGGTGAGGAGCTGGAGATACGAGTAAACCAATTCCTGTTCTTTACTAGCTTACAAGGGGAGAGCTGTGCCTCTGTAGAATAAGCACTGGACTACGAACTGTGCAAGCCCACCAGCTGTTCTGGGGCGATAGACGAGGCTTTCTGTTTCCACAAAGATTTACAGCCTCGGAACTGTAATAAGGTTACAGTTACAGGGGCACACTGCCTAGGACACCCAGTGTTAAAAGGTTTACAGGATTTTTCTGAGTTGGAACAGACGATACTTTAACTACAACAACAAAATAGTTTACAATGTGTCTAGACAGTTACCAAGATTAAATGATGGGAATGGAGCAATTTCTGTTTTGTCTCTAAGGCCTTTGGAGCATTGAGAATTGACAGCTGAAGACTAACGATTTGGATCATGTGAAGGTGGTGATATGGTTTAATGGTCTTTCATGGACCGTTTTGACAGGCTTCATTCATTCATTTATCAAATATTTACTGAACTCCGTCACTGTGCCAAGCATTGTGCTTGAGGCAAGCAAAAACATAGATGTTTCAAATGTCATTCCGACTCACGTTAAACTAATAAACAAGGCAGTAAAGCCGGAAAAGGGCCAGAAAGGATGGCTGGTGGCTTGTGATGTTTTCTGATATTCGATTGTTTAAGGTCTCAGGCTTGACATAAACGCTTTATTCCGGAGTTCTTTCCTGGGCTGTGATTTTGAGAGGGCCGGCTCCGGAGCTCAGAGTCCTAACCCTAAACCTTTCAAAGAACCGGACCTAAATTGAACCAACGAACCACCGTAGAGTTGGTCAGCCGACCTAGGCGCGTAAGTCTTCTACCGAGGATTCGTCAGAACGTGGGGGCCTGCATCACGTGACCCATACCAACCTCCCTATTGGCTCCGTTCCTCTCGAGACCGCCCCCCTCTAGAGAGGGGATGGACCCCCTGAGAAGGTCGAGCGCATGCGTCCTGTCCGGATTTCCCTGGACTCTCTGAGTGGAGCTGTAGGGTTGGGCGACAAACAAGCTGTAGCCAGGAAGAGGGGGGGAGGGGACGTTCTCTCCGCCCGGGTTTCTCACGCCTCCTTATGCCTTTAGGTGTGGTTTGGTTCCAACGCGAAGTCTCGGGAGCTGGTTGCGCCTGCTTACTCGTTAAGGAAGAAAATAGCCCAGCGGAAAGTGGTTAAAGTTGCTAAGGGGTTGTGAGACGGACGTTCTCCCCCAGATGCCAGCCGAATGGTGCGGCCCTGAACTGGTCTGGGAGCCGGCCCGACGTGTCTGAGAGAGGCCCCGGAGGGGGCGGGGAGGTGGCTTACAGGACGCGGGTTCTGTAAAGAGACGTGGGAAAGATTCGAATCCGAGAAGAGGAAGAGCTCAATTGAAAGGGAGCGAGGGCGCTGAGGTGGGGGGCTACCAAGATGGCGACGGCCTCCAGTGGGCCGTCGGCGGTCGGGCTTTCACCGGCGGATTCCGGGGTCCCTTCCTGCACCTCATCCTCAGGTAAGCGGAGCGGGGCGTGGGGAAGGGGTGAGTGACTGCGGGGATGAGTCAAAGAGCGAGACCTCGGGGGCACCTGTAGCCGGAGGTCGCCGAGGGCTTGCTGGTAAGAGGACAGAGGGCTGGACTTGCCGGTGGCTGGGCTTTCGCAGCGGGCAGGGAAGAGTATGAGGAAAGATGGGTTCCCTTGAGAAAAGGGAAGCTGTCGAAAACGTTGGCAGTCTTCCGAGGAGACCGGCTGGAGGACTCGGGAAGGGATGGAGATTAAAGGTGGGGGTAGGAGGGGAAACCCAAGGGAGGAAAGAAACTCTTGTCAACGGAGCGCTGGGAAGTAGAGAGGAATTGGTGTGAGAGGCAAGTTGATTGTGGGGTTAATAAGGCTCCGCAGCGCGGAAGAGAAGCCGTGGGACAGAAAGGTGTGGAAGGGTTACAGACGTTGTACATTGCTGGGGAGTGAGGGCAGCGTGAAATGTGTGTGGTGGGAGTTGTGGGGGCTGGCGGTTTCCTCAGAGACTCTCCCCCCTTATCCCCCCATCAGTCCTTCTCTCCCGTCCTCGCGCCCCCTTACATTTTCTCACGAGACCTTCCTGTGGTTGACGCCTGTCTAGACTACCTAACTTTGAGAACGAGCGGGCATTTTTGAAAAGAGGTCGAGGAATGTAGAAAATTCGGGTCCAGAGATTAAAAATCATCGGGGAAGGTGAAATCACAGTCTCCAATTGCAGTAGAGGCTGAGGGCAGTGATGCTGGCAATTAGGCTTTAGAAAGAAGATGGGGTAGGATATTGCATAAGAGGAAATGAACTGGAAGAATTCTTAAGATGTATCAGGAAATTGGAACTTGGAGAATGGAGCCAGGGAATAGAGAGAGCTCCAAGCAGTTAGAAACTAACTAAGGAAGACTGAGGGAGGGCTGAGGAGCCCAAAAGAAAAACAACAGACTGTGTGTAGGAGGGAAAATGTGGTGGTGGTGGGGAGTTTTGAGTCAGAAACTGTTCTAGAGGTTCCATCAGAAATAATCTGGTGTCCCACAGGGACTGTGAACAGGAGAGACTGCGAGATGTTGGATGTCTTAGAGATGTTGACATTTCCTTAGGCCTAGGATTGCATCCATGCCATTTTGAATTGGCTGACTAGAAAGAAGGTTCCATCTTTCACATTCCACCTAAACTGAACTAATGCATATTCACAAATACCCTCTTCATGAGCTGCAGTCTGTTTTTAATTTCTTGAGAGGTGATTTTTGCCTTTCCTATAAAACATTAGAGGGCCAGAACAATTCATGTTGTGCTCTGAGCTTCAGTTTGGATACCGTGGCTCCTTAATTGAAACTCCCTTAACCTTATAGTAACCCACAAAAAAGAATGATTGTGTATAGAGTTTAAATAAACTTTTTAAAAAAATTGTATATACAAAGGGGGGGGGCTTCAAAAAGTTCATGGGAAAATACCAATATCTTTTAATTACATCTTTTCATAAACTTTTGAAGCCCCATTATGTATGCATGTAATGTTGTTGTTGTTATGTGCTGTGGAGTCAGTTCCGACTCATAGTGACCCTGTACAGGGTTTCTGAGGCTGTGAATCTTTACGGGAGCAGAAAGCCTCATCTTTCTCCCATGCAACAGCTGGTAGTTTCGAACTGCTGACCTTAAGGTTCTCAGCCCGATTCGTAACCACTACGCTACCAGAGCTCCTTATGTGATGTGTCTATGTAATGTATACTCATATATAAAAACACAATCGCTAATTCAACATTTTTATGCATGAATAATTCAGTGACATTGATTGTATTAATTGTGTTGTACATCTATCACAATTACAGATACTCCATACATTCTAAGGAGTCCTGGTGTGGCACTGTGAGGTAATGCGCTAGACCAAAAGGTCAGTTTGAGCCACAAGGTCGCTGGTTCAAGCCCACCAGCCACTCCGAAAGTTTATGTGGATCACTGAGTTGGAACAGACTCAATGGCACTTAATTAACAACATGCATTCTAACAATGATTTTTCCTCTCCTCTCTCTCCTACCCATGTTATACTGTCAAGTTAGTTTCAACTCATAGCGATCGATCCTATATAGGTTATCCAAAGAAGTACTCTGATCGCCTGTCACTGATAACCACTTCATAAGACTACAATTTATGAAGAGCATATTTGTGACTGTGGATTCGCTTAGCTGAGATAGAATGTGAAAATAGTCAATTCAGATTGGCAAGAATATAATCCTAGGCCTAAGGAAATGTCAATGTCTTGAAAACATCCAACATCTGGCTGTCTCTCCTGTTCACACTTTGATCGCTATTCATTTACCTATTCTATATAGTTTATGTAAGTGAGATCCTTTTGTGACTGACTTCACTCAACACAATGTTTTCAAGGTTCATTCATGTTATACCATACATCTAGACTGATTACTCTTCATGACTGAGTTATATAGTCCATTGTGTTATGCAGACTTCTTAACTATCAAGTCAGAATGGAGCCAGGGAATATAGAATGGATTTTAGAAATGATGTTATTTTTAAGAAATGTAAGTTATATCCCCAAATTTGTTCAGCCTGTAGTTCATGGTAGTATTTATCAGGTGGGCAGATTTATGAGTAACAAGGAAATGTTATTTTTTACAGTGTCGTCTTCTTCTGTTTATACTCCTATTTTAACCCACTGCCATTGAGTCTCCTGGTGTGGTATTGTAGAATAAACACTGGACTATGAACCACAGGTCAGCAGTTCAAACCCCACCAGCCGCTCCTCAGAAACCCTACATAGGGTCACTATGAATTAGAATCAGTTTGATGGCACTTAACAGCAACAAAGCCATTGAGTTAATTCCATCTCATAGATTTGTGAGGCTGTCAATCTTCACAGGAGAAGAAACCGTCTTATTTTCCCCAGGGAGAGGCTGGTGGGTTTGAGCTGCCAACTTTTGGTTACTGTGCAAGTGCTTATCCAGCAGCACCACCAGGGCTCTTAACATCATCTTTTTTAGCTGCTTCTGTCTGGCTTTTTTTTAACCGATTTTGTTGCAGGCTTTTTTGATCTCTGCCAGATTCTAGGACTTGCAGTTAATAATAAGTGTAATAAGTGTCAACCCCCCCCACCCTCTTTATTGTGTTCTTTTTGTGACTTTCACCAGAAAGTCAAAGATTATGTTTTAGTGGACTTCACAGATCCTTCATTCTATTTTCATAAGTGAAAGTGTAAAAATGTTCAAATTAAAAATAGTTTTAAATTCCTTTTTCATTTTTGTGTTATACACTTTGTTTAGCTGCTTTAGCAAATATTGAAACCGGTGGATTCAACTGTATTTAAAAAAAAAATTGTGCTCCTAAATATACCAGAAAACTTATGGGATGATTGTGTGCAAATGCACTGTTTGCTTTTGTGTGTGTGTTAACTGTGTTCACTTAAATTTGGGCTTAGTGAATTTAATTTAACATTTTTTCTTTCATGGAAATGTTTTTGAAGAGAATATGATGTTTGATTCTGATGCAAAAAGTCTATTAAGAAAGGGTTTTGTTTGTGATTAGAGGAGGAATTAGGAAATTGACAAGAGTAAAAGATGTTGGATTATTTCTGACATTGTTAATAGCTGAAAGGCTAGATTTGTAGAAACTCAAGGTGTGTGTTTTAGCCATCTTAAAACCAATTTGTTCTTACATGTGTAGCTGAACGCCACTTAAATTTTAGTGAAATTCTGAAGTTCTAAGGACAAATTTTCTCTGTCAGTGTTGAAAATAGATAACCTTTGTTGTTGTTAAGTGCTGTTGAGTGGGATTTAACCTTTAGCAACCCTGTATAGGGTTTCTGAGGAGCAGCTGGTGAGCTTGAACCGCCAACCTTGTAGTTCAAACCGATTGCAATCCAGGGCATTAACACAGTGCCACACCAGGACTCCACTTCTAACCTTTGTCGTTGATGATTTGATGAGTGGACCAGTCAACTTTGCGGTTCAAACTGACTTTGCAGTCCATTGCATTAACCCACAGCACCACACCAGGACTCCCCTTTGTTGTTGTTGTTGTTGTTGTGAAGTGCCGTTGAGTCCGTTCTGACCCATAGTGACCCTGTATAGGGTTTCCGAGGAGCAGCTGGTGAGCTTGAACTGCCGACCTTGCAGTTCCAACGGCTTTGCATTCTGGCGCATTAACCCACAGCGCGCCACTTACAGGGCTCAAAATATTTTTGACTTCAAATAGGAAGGAGAGAGTGGTTACTTAGAAGAGTTTTCATCTGCTATATTAAACCCTTGTCTATAGTGTTTTATAAGTGAACTTGGGCTGGTCTTTAAAGCTGTTGACAAGTGGCTACAGAGGGTAAAGCAAATCTAAGCTCTAAGAAATATTCAACATCTTTACTCATTGGAATAATTATCATGTTTGAATTTGGATTATCAGTTTTTAGCAGCCACCATAATGTGCTTGTTCTTACACTTTGGTTGTGAATAATATGTGATTGCCATTTTCTACCTAGTCTTTTTTGTATGTGTATAAAGGGAATTTATTATTTTCTCCTTCATCTTCCATCATTTGTATAATGATACCACATAATCATAAAGTCAAACCTGATGAGGCACTGCTGACAGTGGAATCATCTGTCACACTCAATATATAGAGTATAGAGAGACTGTTCCACTATTAAACTTCCTATGGTTTATCGGGAATTTAATTCAGCCACAGAGCTTCTTTTTTACTACTATGAAAGGAGTATAGAGTTTCCATTTTAGAGACTTGATTTGAAGTTAGTGAAGGTGTTCAAAAGGCAAGTAGAGTGCTAAGGTAAACATTGCTCCCCTGAAATAAGCACTGTGTGATAAAATCATGTTTAACTCCTCCAAGGAAAAGCACTTGAAAACACTTGAAACCTTAGATGATCACAAACTGCTGCTCCTTCTAGTTTTGAACAGAACATTGAAATTGCCATGCCTCATCTATATAATTTTATCATGGGCACAAATGATTCCGAGATAAGTTTACAGCTTTCTTCTCCACCGTTTTTTTTT